GAATCATGAAGATGTTTCATTGAAGACTACAGCTGTGAGAAATAAATTATGCATCAAAGAAGAAGAAGAAGAAGAAGAAGAAGACTCAATTAGTAAGTAGCCTGTCTATGCAGCCCCTCAGTGGCTTTCAGTTTGGGCTCTACCGCTATACACATGGCTAGTTTTAGAAAAAAATGTCTTGGTTTGGTGTTTGGGAGGCAAACACAAGGCTCCTGGGTGAAAGTCCAGGGTGTGTTGGACCCATCCACCAACCTTCCTACCACCCTCGACAGACTTTGCTGCTCCTTATATTACGTCGTTACCTGCAACGTTACAACCTGACACCATCCAGCAGCGTATCATCCCGCCACAACAGGTGCCGTCCAGCCAACTAATGGCATATCATGACAAAGCCAAAGGCTGCATCTGGCTGTGTTACATACTGACATCACCAGGCTGTGTATCATACTGCTGCGGAAGGTGGCGTTTCATTGACAAAGTGGTTGTATTGGACTGGAGACTGGCTGGAGGGGGAGGTCACAATCACTGATAAAGTTGTTCCTGTCCTGTCTGCATAAGTTCAGCATCTGTATTTAACAGCCTGGCCCGCAAACGGCCTGTCGCCCCCTCATAGTCTATATCTGACCCATCACTATCACAGTCACTGAAGACAGCATCTTTTTTAATTATGAGGGACAAGTGTAAAGATGTATGTCTCGTCTGGGCCGTCACCTCCATCAAACATATCCAAAACTTCACTCAAAGTGAATCTAAAAAAGAAAAGAAGAGTGGAGGGTTGTGTAGAAGAAGAGCTTTGTATGTGTATAAGTTTGTGCACACTGTGTTATCCCACCGGTCACTATTGTCTCTGTCAACATGTTCACGACTTCTGTGACCACACTGAACAAAGCTGAGTAATTTCAAATGCACATATCAATACCAGACACCTTAAAGATAAAGTGTACCAAAAAATGCTGTCCTATCTTTACGTTAACACACTTCACTAACCTCTTGTTTGGAGCTTTGATGCAACCATCCTCATCTCATGGTGCAACCAGGAAGTAAACAGCTCTGATCATGTGACAGTTTACACTGAACATGTGACACTGCACATATTTCATTGAGACCCCTTTTTATGTCAGTGTTTTTTCATGTTATCATTTGGGTCTTATTTTGTGTCAAAAACTGTGATACATCTCGTCACAGATTTTGTTTTAATTGGACTGGGGGAGGAAGCTGGAGCACCTGGAGGAAACCCACGCTGACACGGGGAGAACATGCACACACAAGGGCTCCACCACCTTGGGGTTAGAGCCCCCATCCTGGGTTTCGAAACAGCAACTCTCTAGCTGTGAGGCAACAATACTAACCACTGAACCACCATTCCAGGAACTTACTGAGCCTTTTTTTTTTTTTAAGTTAAACAATATAATTGTGAAGATTTATGTCCTCAATATGATCCAATGGGCTCAGAGCTGAGAGACACAAACAGGAAGTCATAATGTTGACAATATGGACAATATGGATTTATGGATTTATCACCAGACATTATTTAACTTTAAATCATATTGTCTCCCATTTAGAAATAACCTTTCTGTTATGTAAAAGTGTTTTGATGTTTTCTTTTTGCAGCTCTGCAGGGAAGCAGATCTTGAACATGTGTCGTCCAGCGGTTGGATTGTGCTGTTAAATGTTTTAAATGCTCTGTCAAGACGAGTATAGAAGATCCTTTGATCATGCAAGTGACGTTATTGACAGTCTGCATCCTCATTAAGCTACACTGGCAAAGACCTTAACCACACAAACATCGGCACTTGGTAACGAGCTGCATCAGTTTCTGATTTAGAAATGTTTGTTTGTGATCTGCATCATTTTCATAATAACATAATAACACACCGTCATCCCCTCCACCTCTCTGTGACAAGTCAGCTCATATATTACCTCACTTTAGAAACGTTGATATGATGCGTATGAAACGTGCAAATATAATGCATCCATGGTTTGCAGAAACTTACATTACCATCATTTAGGGACTGGGCAGCAGAGACATGGAATTAAACAAGCGTTTCTGATGTATGCTGAAGATGAGTTCTCCACAGAAAGGACAGCTGGCTCTTACGTTTCTTCAGAATGCACATAAGATAAACTCAGGCAACAAATTGGAAACACGCTACTTCTTATCATGAAAACAACTTGTGGCTGTTTAGTCCCAGCAGCTGGAGGATTATGAGTTCAGTGTTCAAAGTGCTGAAACTGCACTCGATTAACTGTGAGATTAAGTGTGAAGTTACATAAAGCAGACGCTCTTCTGTATTCAATATAAACAGGCCAACATCCAGTTTATTACAGCTATGCTTGAAATTCTCAATCACTTTTGTTCCAGCAAATGTCACCACTGATATTCATCTTTATGTAATTATTCAACTCATCCTCACTGTGACCTCGTCACATGTCCACGTTTGGTCATGGACTTTCCACGTCCACATATGACGTCCAAGGTACCCTGGGTGTGTTGGTTGTTGACGTTCTGGGACGCCGTGTCAACTTCAGCCTGTTACATGCATTGTCTGTTTTCAAAATACACTTCTGTTTTCACAGGAAATGTACAGTTTGCATACAGTCTCTTTCAAAATAAAAGCACTGCATCGGTCCAATGAACTGACGTGTGTTTTCCTTCAAAACCAAATGGACATGGTTATGTTTAGCCGACACACGCATGTGGTTGGGTTTAGGACGAAGTTTGATGGTTGTTGAACCCATCCACCACCCCTCCCACTCGCCCTACTTGGACTCCGCCTCCTTAACTTTCATTGTTGTCCTGCTGCATTTCCCCCTGACACAGCCGGTGACTGACCACGTATCATGCTGATGTGCTAGGACAGCTTTTTTAATTGGTGTCTGACACCGGAAATCACTGACCAAGCACCAGATTTTGACAAATTTGTTTTGGGACCAGGTTGAATTTTTAGAAAAGACTGACATTAGATGAACCTGCACAACCCAGTTGCCAGAAAAAATGTCAGCACTGTACATCTCTGCAAACTGTTAACAGTTCAGGCACAAAAGACAGTTTGTTATGGTCAGGAAAACATCATTTGTTGGCTTTAAATACCAAGTTTTGGTGGCATGAAATGCAACGTCTCTGCAATGTCTCTGTAAAACACAACTGCTTTTCATAGCACTACCTCCCCTGGAGAAACAGCAACATGTTGCTACAAAACACCTGTGTTTGGTGCCCAAAAAGCTACTGGAAACACAGCAATGACGCGCTAAAGACAGTGGTCTGCAGCTTGGCAGGTGTCTTGCCTCGGTGACACGCCATCCACCATCCCCTCCACCTCCAGATGACAAAGTCTTCTCATTTACTACGTCACTTTAGAAACAGTGAAATGATTCGTGTGAAATGTGCAACTGTAATGTGTTGGAGTTTGGATGCACAGTATGAGCTCCATCGGGTCAGGATCTGAAGACCAAACATGGAGAAAATATGACATTCGGTACGTTTTGTTTTGTTGTGTTCATGAAGTGATTTGTGTTTTAAGTTGTGGTTTGACAAATTTTCCAAAAACAACTCAGATCAGAATAATCTCAAATTTCTTCTCAAATAATTTCGGTTAAGATGCAGAGGATATGAAATATGTAGCTGAAATTTTGAAACAGCAGTTGGAGCCTCCAGTTCGACTGTTCACCAGGTAACTGATACAAATACTGATCCAGGAACTATGAAGCTAAAGAGGTGCAATTATTGATCGATGATCTTTAGCTGAATACAGACACTGGCCTGCAGAGAGCACATGGATCAGACAGCAGGCAATGTCATTTTGGCTATTCGGCAAGTAGATCAAGAAATGAATTATCTGCAGCCAGTAGATTTATCTTGATAGAATCCGCTAGGTGAAAATTAAGCACTGCTATCTGAGTATTTTGTACGTTATTGTTCTCTAATAAAAACAGATAAATAGCTTCATAAGAGACTGACTTGTTTGAATTGCAGATAAGGGAATCGGGAGATTTAGCAACCTGGGAGCAGATCTAAAAAAATTTTTTAAAAAAAACAATAAAAACCTAAACTTGGACCCAACCCAATTTGTGGTCATGGACAACCTGAGTTCACCAAAACTACAGTACATCATTTTAAAACTCAGCTAGCATGTCTTTTTTGTTTCATAAAGGAAATACAAAGGGTTTGTTTGATGGCATGTTGACTAAAGGATATCCGGTTTATTCATCTCACTCAGTCGTACGTATTGCATTTTTTTTTTTGTTTTTATCCCATCCAGACTTCTGTCCCTTGAGCATGGTCTCACTCCAAAGTCATTGAAATCCGGGGCTTAGGCAGTGACTTGTGGTGTCAGAAACCACCGAAAAAAGGCATCAGCGGCGTCAAGGGGAAACATGTTGGGACAAGGATGAAAGTTAAGGTGGCAAATGTTTGAGTGGGGCGGGCGGGAGGGTTTGTGGATGGGTCCAACAAACACCGACTTTCACCCGAGAGCAGTGTTCACGTCCCGTAAGGTTCTAAAGCCCAACCCTGTTCTTTTTTCCTAAACTAACCACATGCTTTTGTTGCTGAAGGGAAAAAAGTAAATTCCCGGTGCTGTACCGACATAGTGTGTTTATTCTTTAAGAGACTGTATGTAAATGTGAAATTTTCTGTGAAAACGGACGTGTATGTTGAAAGAAGAGAACCTGACATGGCGTCCCAGAACATCAACAACCAACTCACCTAGGGTACTTTGCACATCGTATGGGGACGTAGAAAGTCCATGACCAAAACATCAATATGTGTCGAGGTTGGAGTGAGAATGTGTTGGTCACTTGTGATCCTGCGGTTGGTTGCACAGATGTTCTCTACTCTGCATTTCCTCTCTTCATCCACCTGACATACAAAGTGTGAAGAAAATGCACCCCCTTTTCCACACTTCCACTTCCACACTTAAGAATCTTGTACAGTGCTAATCACAAACCTCCACCAACATGCAGATTTGTTCCTTCAAGGTGTAAATTAAATACCACTGAGATGCTCAGACATCATGCATTTATTTGTGCTCAGGAAATATGAAAAGTCCATGAAGAGAATCACAGGTCATTAAGTGTCTTTTTAAAGTCCTTAGGAGTCCATCAGTTGCAGTTACTAAAGTTCATCATCTCAAGAATCGTGTGAAGATCCTTAAGGAACAGTTTAGCTTCTTTCTCTATGAGGAGCTCACAACGGGGACAGTTTGACTCCGTCTGTGGAGGGGGGAGAGAAACAGATACATTATTAACCAAATAAAGACACACAAAACAACCTCAAGTTGAAGCAGAGTTGTTAAAGTGCGCCCAACTTGACTGTTAAAAAACACTAACATTGCTGCTATTGGACACATTTTTGTGCTCTATGTATTCCAACAGACACCACACAAAAGTAAAAATATGTATTACAATTTTTTTTTTTTTATTTGTGTAATTTTACTTGTCTTCTGATGTGTGATGTGTTATTTCATCAATATATTTATAAATTAACCCTTTCATGACCAGTTTTAATGATGGAGTGCTAATACCATTATTAAAAAAAAGTTGAAAAATTGCAATAAATCAATAATTTCAATAATAATCTGATTTACTCCTACTATTATTGGAACAGGCATATGTGTGCCTTTGAACAGTGTCCACACTGATTTGTTTGCATAAAGTTTGCTGGAGGGTTTTTTTCATTTTATATTGGCATGCGCAGTAAATTTTTATGTGTCACGTCACCGAAATGGCCTGATCACGTGACTTTGTTTGTCAAGCTGTGCTGTTTTTGGTCACTCATCGCAAAGAGGGGATCTCAGTGATCATAACACTTTTTATTTGACCTCGATCGACCAAGGGGAAGCGGCGTAATCTGATATTTTAGATCAGAGTTTTGAAAAAAGCGTCAAATCTTTCAGCGGTCTCCCTCGCGCATCTTAGCGGGGAAGCGAGGCATCATTGTCGGCGAGCGCTGTGGGAGCACCCGCTGAAAGAACCGGGCTGGATTTCCGCGTCTGAAACTACCGTCCTAGTTTTATTTTTACAACTACTGCTTGCAAATGAAGATAATGCTCGGATCAGAGTTTTGAAAAAAGCCGTAAAAATTTTCAGCGGTGTCCCTCCCGCATCTTAGCGGGGAAGCGAGGCAGCATTCCCCGCGAGCGCTCTGGGAGGGTCCGCTGATAGAACCGGGCTGGATCTCCGGGTCTGGAGCTGCTGTGACAAGTTTTAGTTTTGCAGCTTCTGCTTGCAAATAAAGATAATATGTCAACTCCTTTCAAGTCACACATGCACATGTCCCATACACGTACCCACTCACACACACTTGAACGCGCCCCGCGGGAACGCGCGCCCAGTGATTGCAATGCAATATTTTTCGACTAAATTAAAGGAAATTTGGTAATTTTGATGAAATGTGCAAGCTGGTGAAAATCAGACAACACAACTTCACAATTAGCTGTTGGTATATTTGAATGCACATATGAACTTTACTCTAATCATGAATTTAAGCAAATGATTTGCATACAGGACCAGTTTCATCCTCTTGTGTCTGGCCAGGTGGGGTCCAGCGGTGCATGGGGGCAACAGCCTGTCAGTACCCCTTTTTTTTTGCAAAGGTGCTACAATAGTATTCCTGAATGAATTTTCCAAAATTGCTCAGAAACCTATATTTTGACTTCCCCTGTTTTTCCAACAAAACTTTGATAACCTCAGACCTCAAGAACATGGTGTCACCCACTTGTGGTTTGCTATGCCGGAGCGCCCCACAGCACTATTCTAGGTCCTCTTCTTTTCAGTTTATACATTAATAACCTGCCTTCACATGAGCCAAACCAGTCACCTTAAAAAATGTTGGCATTGGATGGGTCCAACAAACACCAATCTTCACTTGAGAGAGTGGTGTTCACATCCCGTAATATTCTAAAACCAAACCCTGTTTTTTTTTTTCCTAAATCCACTTTGGTTTTTTTTTGCCTAAACCTTGAAGAAAAAAAAAACAACAACTCAATTTGTGGTCTTGTATCAATGTAGTAAACAAAAGTGTGTCTTGAAAGAAGAAAACTTGACAGGGTGTCCAACCCAGATAGCACACATACATCTGGCCGACGACGGCCTGAGGACGACACATCAGCCCTGACTTTATAATGTCTGACAAGCGTGGGTCGCATGGGCGGATATCATTAAATTTAATACTCTTTTGTCCCAGCTCGTCAAACGTCTCTGTTACGTTGGCTTTGGGTCGGCCCAGTGCCGTAGAACGTCTGCCCACATACGGAAGTCACCACAAAGGCGGAATTTCATCTCCACAGTGTTTGTTTGGAACTGAGCTCGCAGCACACAGCATCTCATCGCAGTTGCTTTCAGGTAAGCTAACTGGAATAAACTGGCAGAAAATAGCTATGTTGTTCTGTGACCGTTAAAAGAGGTTCCTGGTGAGTGGCGAGGCACGACTGGGTGTATATAGCACATGTCCCCACCAGCTAATGTTATCCTTTGTTAGCTGTTAGCTAGTTTAGCGGTTTACCTCATGTTAGCTAACAGGCTACAACTGTGGTGTTTTCAGTTTATTTTCCCTAGTTGATGTTATCTGCTCATCTGGTTATCGTGAGCACTCGTTCTGGGTTAAAGTGGAAGTGCCCGGAGCTGCCACCCGTGGTCCCGGGCAGGGCTCGAGACTTGGGATCCACTCACCTATGGTCCCGCCCGGCCTGACCTCCGCGGCCTGGACGGGTGCTCAAGTGTGGGTGAGAGGAGCGGAGAGGAGCACGGAGGTCAAATAGTGAAGTTTAAGGATGCCTTCGGTATGTTGTTAATGTGATTTTATGGGCAATTTATCAGTCGAGGTCTCCTCCTCTGCAAAGCAAACTGACCCGGTGGCTACAGGTAATAGCGCAGTTTTGAAACCACTGTTTATCCGAGATGAAGGACTGATTGTTGAGCTGCTGTTAACAGTTAACGGAGTTAATGCCGGATCCCGTTATTTAACAGTTCCCACGCTAAATGAAGCAGAGTGACGGACCCAAAGCCTTCAATCTGGCTAAAAGACAGCTGAAATGCTAAAAAAAATACAGAGAACAGTGAAAAACACACATATTCATGATTTGCAGCAATTTACAACATTTTTTCTGGCGACTGAGCTGACACACACATACACACACATACACACACACACACACACACACACATACACACACATACACACACACACACAGCTCCAGAGTATGCAGGAACACAGAAACTAAATCCTCCCTAAATCCTTTTCTAGCCAACAGCTAGATCATGACATGAGAGGAAAATATTACCAACATCTGGCTCTTTGCTTCTGTTCCACAACCAACTGTGATTCAACATATTGCACCAGTCAATCTCTGGAGCAGTTCTGTAAATTACTTTCTTATGGTGGGCTTGGTTTCTCTTATCTCAGCTCATCTACCTGTGTTTGTTTCCCAGGATTTCCCAAAAGTGTGATCTTGTTTCTGTGATTGTGACAGTGATAGCAAGAGTTTCTGAGCGACAAAAAGCTGAGTGCAAACTTTCTTATGCGGTCACTCAGTCACCAGAGGAAAATGGTGGTGTTGTACGTTTTTGCAAACCACAAATATGTTACATTGGCATGTTTCACATGTATCATCTCAGCGTTTCTAAAGTGACGTAATACATGAGATGAATTTGTCACCTGTAAGTGGAGGGGAAGGTGGATGGCGTGTCATCTGGGTGAGATACATGCAAAGCTGCAGCAACTATTCTGGACCAACAAACACCAGCACCAGGTGTGATTTAGTGACCAATCTCTGTTTTTCCAGCGGCTTTTTAGTCACCAAATGTGGGTGTTTTGTGGAGACATTGCTGCTTTTCATGCCAGAATAGTATGATTATTCATTCATATAGTGTGATTATTATTTTTCACTGACACATTACTGCTTTTTCAGCTGAAATTGCGCTGCCAAAATTGGGTGTTTTAAGCCAAAACACAATCTTTTTCTAACCATAACCAAGTGTTTTTTTGTGCCTAAACCTGACCACAAATTAACCACAGAGTTGTTGAAACAGAAAGTTTTAATACATCTGCTACATAATAACATGCATATGTAACAAATCTGTGGTTTGCAGAAACATACATTTTTTGTTGTGTTTGTTTGATAAAAAAAACTACAGTGATAATCTGTTAATCTGTTTAAAGAAATTACAAATTTCTGAGTTTTTTTTTTTTTTTTTACAAATATCACTATGTCAAAACTGTGTTTCTCTGCCTCCAGACTCACCTTTTTTATCCGCACTGCTAGCCGCCTAAGATTCTTGATCAATGGGAACTCGTGCATTCCAGAGACATTAAAAGCTTCCAGCTCCTCAGTGAGGACTTTAACTTCGTCAGCAAGACATTTCAAGGTGGACTTGGGGCAATTCTGCTGGAGAGAGAGAAAGACAGGTGAGATAGGGACACCATGGAGACATCAACCACAACCTCACACACAAAGAAAGTGCCTCAGGCAAGAACCACTTGAAGGAACACATTCATTGGTACAGTTAGAGTGACTTAAGAGGGGCATGGGGTGTGTGGTCTAAATCTGTTGTACAAGTCATTCACAGTAAAAACTTTGACTTCGGCACAGAAACTTTGACTTCAGATAATGCCTACTGAAAGAAAGTAAATTTGGAGTTTAAATATGATGCAGGGAAGAACAGAACTAAAACTAAAAAAAACTGAAAATACAAAACTAACATTCTGCTCTCCATATTATTGCATACGTTGACACAAACACTTGTACAGTTCAGTATAATAAATTCCTCTCACTAAACATGAACATCCTCCCTCATAACACCTGACAGTGTACTGTGTAATATACCTTGTGTAATATCACTTAATGTTTATATCATTTTAACTGCCTCTCACATAAGACATGGATTTCTTTTACTATTTGGTTAATTATTTGTTGTGGGTTCTCTAATATGACTACTTACTATTCTAAACTCGTTATCTTTTAGCCTGCTGATTTCCGACAGCGGAACGTGAAGCTCTCCAGTATAAAATTCTTCTTTTTCATAGTTTTGGTAACATTTCTGTGAATGAAACACACAGATCAGAACAGGCAGCTTTATATGCCAGTTTTACGGGTGTTGATTATGCTGATGTTTAAGTATCATGAAAAGGTGACACTCCAACCCAGTCACCAGAATAAATGTTGGCATTGTACGTTTCTGCAAACCACGGATACACGGTTACATTTGCACGTTATTATGTAGAAGACATATTGAACCCTTAAGTTTCAATGACACTGTGGTTAACCTGTGGGTAGGGTTTGGCACAAAAACCAATTGGTTATGTTTAGGAAATGATCACGTCTTGGCTTTAATGACTCTGTACTGAGAGCACTATGGCCTGGAAAAGCAGCAATGTTTTGGGAAAAAACAACCGGTTTTTGAGGCACCATCCCCGCTGGGTATCAGTGATGTGTCGCTTTGGTGCCTTTCAAGCTGCAAGAAAAAAATTGACAAGTCCCTGAAAAACAGTCACAATTGGGGGCTAAAAAGCCACAGAAAAAAAAGCAGTGGGTTTCTAAAAATGACCTACATTTGATGCCCTAAAACCTGTAAGAGGAACAGTGATAGGTCCCTAAAAAAACTCATGATGGGGGGCTAAAAGCTGCAAGAAAAGCAGACATGGGTCCCTAAGAAAGAGCTTTGTTTGGTGCATTAAAAGCCACATCAAAACAGTGACAGGTCCCTGAAAAATGCTCATGACTAGGGGCTAAAAGGCTGTGGGAAAAAAACACGATGGGTCCCTAAAAAAGACCTACATTTGGGGACTGACAAGTAACTGGAAATAGAGCAATGGGTCATTAAAAAAAGAATGGTTGGGGCCTTAAAAGCCACAGGAAAAAAGTGACATCCCTAACACTCACAGGGCTAAAAAGCCGCAAGAAACAGCAGTGGTTCCCGAAGAAAGATCTATGTTTAGGGCCTTCAAAGCCACAGGAAAAACAGCAATGGGCCACTAAAAAATACAAATGGTTGGGGACTCAAAAGCCACAGGAAAGGCAGCAACACATCCCTAGAAAAGACTTACATTAGGTGCCTTAAAACCTGCAAGAAAAACAATGACAGGTCCCTAAAAACACTCATGACTGGGGGCTAAAAAGCCATGAGAAAAACTGCAACAGGTCCCGAAAAAAGACCTACATTTGGTGCCTTAAATACCACGAGAAAATCAGTGACAGGTCCCTAAAAACACTCACAATTAAGGACTAAAAAGCCAAGGGAAAAACAGTGACAGGTCCCTAAAAAAGACCTACATTTGTGGACCTAAATGTCACTAGAAATAGTGACGGGTCATCAAAAAAAAGAATGGATGGTGCATTAAAAGCCGCAGAAAAAACAGTGATGGGTCCCTAAAAAAGACCTGTGTTTGGTGCCTTCAAAGCTGCTGGAAAAACAGTGATAGGTCCTTAAAAACACTCATGATGGAGGGCCAAAAAGCCACAAGAAAAACAGCAACAGGTCCCTTGAAAAGACCTAAGTTTGGTGCCTTCAAAGCCGCACAAAAAACAGTGACGGGTCCCTAAAAAAGACCTGTATTTGGTGCCTTCAAAGCTGCAGGAAAAACAGTGACAGGTCCCTGAAAACACTCATGATTGAAAGCTAAAAAGCTGTCCAGGTGAGAGTCTGAAGGATTTAATAAGAATATGAGTGTTCTTAGAGAACCTTACAAGTTTAAGTCTTCTCACTGTGGTCACATCTACCCATGCAGAGAGTTTGGACTTTGTCTTCCCAGATATTTCTGTCTCAACCACACTGACAGACATGAACACTGATATTCACTGACTCTGCTACACTGGAAATGATCAGTACAATGTATACACATTGACAACTAGAGCATGGTTATGGGAGAGATAGCGATTATTATGAAAGAGGATCAGAGGTTGTTGCACTGTGCTCAATCCTGTCGTCAGCTAAATGAATGTGGACCAATGAGAGTAACAAATGCAGCCAAAGGTCACAGGCATGCTGGGAAATCTTGCACAACATAAAGCTGTTTATGTGCTGAATTAAACATTTACATTCATGAATGAATTTACATTTTTTACACTGGCTTTAACTTATAACAGAACTTATACAATGTTTGGGTTTCTGTTAATGTGTTTCTGAAATGATTTGTCCAGCTGAGGACACTTGTGTTTGTGAAGAAACCAGATGTCAGGATCAGATAAGAAGGACATAAAGGCATCAGAATGGAAAAAGACACAAAGGTCTGAGGAAGCTCATACCTTAAAGTCTTCTGTGGTGGGCGTGTACAATGTGCAGTTCAACCCCTCCTGAGGAAGAAGACAAGAAGTTATATGTTAAATACTTAGTTTATTACTTCTATGCTGAACATAAAATAATTTTCAGTTCGTGGCGCAGTTCAGGTTTCCAGAGAATAACCACAACATCGTCTTATAGAAATAAATGTTAAGGCCATGGATTGAAGTTATTCATGATTAAATATACAAAACTTTTACATGAAGTATAGTTGTGTTTTTTTAGCCTGCCAGCAGTGTGGTGGTTGGTCCACCACTTTGATCCACACTAAAATATCTTAACAACTATTGGATGGATTTCAATGAAATGTCGTACAGATGGTCATGGTCCCCAGAGGATGAATCTTACTGCTTTTGGTGATGCGCTGATTTTTCTGTTTTTGACATAGGCTACATGTATTTCACAACATTAGTTGAAGCCACCCCTGCACTGGGATTTGTCTCTAAACGCAGCTAGAGCCGAGGGAGTGACACTGTCATGTCTTTTCCTGTGACAGGTAAATCAGGGTGCCAAAAAAGAAAAGAAAGAAAGCAAAGTGACTTTGTAAACAAATAAAAAAAAAAAAGAAATTTAAAAGGTGAGTGTGAAAGACACAGACACAGATCTAGAGAGTGAGGGTGGGGGTCCACAGAGAGCCAGAAATGTGGTGCTACGCCCCGGTGTAGTTTGCATAAACATCAGTGCTGACATTTTCCCTGGTGGATGGGCATATGTGTTATTCTAGAATGGGCCATTCTGCATTATGAGTACTTTTATTTTTGTACTTTAAGAATGTTTTGGTGCTTATACTTCTGTATTTTCACTAAAGTAGCATCTTAAATACATTTTACTTGTAATGGAGTACCGCAAAACTTCAATTAAAACCCTGGTCCCAATTTAGCGCCCTGTCTCTTTTACACCCGGTCTGGTTCAAAAGCAGTTTTACAGAAGTTCTCAGGATGCATAAAACTGAGTTGTTGACTACCAACTTGAGCTAACGTTAGTTAGCCGTTTAGATCGCACATACACATATAAATGTTTAAACTTTTGTCAATATGGAGATGCTACAGAGATGCTGTCATTAAGTCAGAATATGTGTCCATTCCTTGATTCCCCGGTAAGTTATTTCTAATCCTTTAGTCTGCTAGGGTGTTCCAGTCAAAAGAATCAAAAGTGTAAATATATAAATCATAAATATTGATCTCAGTTATGAATATGGTGTCATCCTCTGCCGTGAAACGAGTGTCATAACATAACACATAATTGATGTTATTCAAAGCTTAATTCTTATACAGGTAACATTCATACTGGTTGCAATAAGCAATTTGATTGTACTTTCCATCTCTGCTGAGCAACAGTTTTGTGTGAAAGGAATTAAAGGCCTGTCGCAAATATAGGCCTGATGAGTTCAGTCATTTAAAAGGATAGTGCACCCAAAAATGAAAATTCAGCCATTATCTACTCACCCATATGCCGAGGGAGGCTCAGGTGAAGTTTTAGAGTCCTCACATCACTTGCAGAGATCCAAGGGGAGAGGAGGTAGCAACACAACTCCACCTAATGGAGGCTGACGGCGCCCCAGATTCAAACGTCCAAAAACACATAATTGAAACCACAAAATATCTCCATACTGCTCGTCCGTAGTGATCCAAGTGTCCTGAAGCCCCGACATAAAAAGTTGTTTGGAAAAACGTCATTTGAACTCTGTTTTTAGCCTCATTGTAGCCTGTAGCTCTGACTGCCTCTCTGGGCACCACGCTCACGTGTGTGCGCTTGCGTGTGAGACCAGCGAAAGCACGTGAACACACATGAAGGCGGTGCCAATGTCTCACGGTCTCACGGTGCACAGAGAGGCAGTCAGAGCTACAGGCTACAGTGAGGCTAAAAACAGAGTTCAAATGAGGTTTTTCCAAACAACTTTTTATGTCGGGGCTTCAGGACACTTGGATCACTATGGACGAGCAGTATGGAGATATTTTGTGGTTTCAATTATGTGTTTTTGGACGTTTGAATCTGGGGCGCCGTCAGCCTCCATTAGGTGGAGTTGTGTTGCTACCTCCTCTCCCCTTGGATCTCTGCAAGTGTTGTGAGGACTCTAAAACTTCACCTGAGCCTCCCTCGGCATATGGGTGAGTAGATAATGGCTGAACTTTCATTTTTGGGTGCACTATCCCTTTAAGCCAATAATAGCCCAGGCTACTAACTGAAGTGTTACAGTACTTCCTCCACCACAGTAATCAACATTACACCTGTTGATCATCAGCACGTCATTGTCAGCATGTTAGCATGCTGATATTTTAAGAATAAGATAAATATATTCACATTTCTCACACTGTAAATCCCTGCAGCTCCCTGCAGACATACAGCGGAGAACAAGAGGGGAAACACCGCTGTGAAAGTCATTAAAGAAATGTTTTTATAAATTCAAGCAAGAGGGAAATATTTGTGAGTTTGGAGCAAAGTCCTGCTCTGATGTTTCTTCAGATTCTGAACAGCTGGAGGATGAAACAGCTGGATGTTACTGTGCAGGATGAAAAATGTGGAGCTGGACTGTGTCGTCTGCCAAAGTGAGGCCAGCAGTTCTAAAAGTAGAAAATTATGACTTGTTTAAAACTAACAATAAAATGCACAAATTCAGCTGGAGGGTTGAACCCTTGATTCCATCCACTGCTGTGTTTGAACAGTCTGAACTGCTTCTGTGTGAAAAAGAGCTTTGATGCCCTGCGGACTTGTTGCTGCACAACTGTTGTTATGTAATCACACGTTTCTGCAAGGAAGCTGCTGCGGGACATGTTAAAGGGGTATTACGCTAATTTTACACATGAACCTCAGTTGACTCCTCGTGTGAAAGCTGTTGTATAACGTTGTCATCAATTATCTCAACTTTGACGTGACACTTCAGATTTATTACAGATCACCTGCATCATGTACTGCAGGTGAGGAGTTCCAGATAAGCAGCTGTTTGCCAGCTGGCACAGAGAGTCTCATGAGAAATGTCATAAATTTGCATTATGAGAAACGAAGGATCGAGGATTTAGTGATTCAAACTTAGACTCAGAAAACTTTCATTTCCCCAAAAGGTCAATTTTGGGAACAGCACATTAAACACAATGTAGACACAATGAAATCACAGAACAACATCATCTGTCAGAAATATATATAAAGCAGATATTAGATTTACTTGTTCACACAAAATATTTTTTTACAGCGAAACTGCTGAAGGCAGGTGAAAAATATTTTTTTTTATTTTTCTGTATTTCATTACATATGGAGAATTAAACCGCAGGGGTGTGATTTGTGATTTACACTGCCCTGACGCAGTAACCTGCATATTTAATCTAACTCTCCTTGATTCCTTAAGCACATGCAGCAGATGTGTGTGCAACAGCCTCTGTCACAGTGGTCTGTCTTGTGTGTTGTCCACGTGTTGCAGCCATTCTCTGAGAGTGATTTGTGGTAGAAATGTGTTTCATGACAATGTTGCACCACGTTGCAAAACATTTTACCCCTGCTTTGAGCAGATCATCAGATCTTGCACGGTGTTAAGCATTACATTTTGTTGGTAAATGTGAGGTGTTGGTGTGGCACATGTCTGCATCTTCACAGCCAGAAATGAGGAAGTGACTTTGGTGATTTGAGATAAACTACAATGATTGGTCAGACTGGTCTGTGGACATGCCATCAATCCGTTTTTATCTGTGCTTTTGTATGGTGTTTTGTCTTTCTCTTTCTCTTACACTTACACCATCAACCTGCAGGGACTGCAGATGAAAATGAGCCTGTATGGTGAAATCTGGCACATTAACGTGACGTAAGTGATCATGTTCATTAATGTGCACTGTCACTTTCTAAATAAAATAAATATAAACATTTCTATCCACTGTCATCAATTCCCCTTTTAGTTATCATCAGCAGTGTGTACTTTATCTATATTTTATGTTATTTTATTTTATTACAATTAATAATAGTCATTTCCAGTCAAAGTTAAGGCATCAGAGCTCTTTGCAGTAAAGATGCAATTGTAGCATTTTCTTTTAGAGAGTATCAGATGCCCATAAAGGAAACTACAGACTGCACTACAGAGTTTATACTAAATCCATTCCCCCTGACTTCTGAGACTAAACCTGTGTACCACCAACTAACCTCCTTTTTTAAATATTTGGATTTGAACAAAGTCCACGCAGGTTATGAAACTGTTACCACATAATGTCTTTCTGTGTTTTTATTCTTAAACAGAATTACTGAGCGTGTCACTATGTTTTTTAATCACTCTGTCCACCTGCAGTAATAGATTGTGGACAGCTTTACAGACAAGTCTGAGAAACTTAAAGAGAGATTAATTCTTTCGTCCACTCCTTCCACAGTCTGAAATCATCGGCTGTGCGGTGCAACTCATTTTATTGTGTTCTATTAAATGATTAAAGCTGATAACAAAGATCGCTCCACTCATAATTGGGTATAATCACGACTGTGCGATCATCCTGCATTTTTTCAAGATAAGTAATTAAACATTATCTAAACTGGGAAGCCTGACAGGTTTTATCTTGAGAAGTGATACGGGCATTCAAAATATCTCATTTTAACAGATAACCTGTGTTGGCATTGGATGTTTCTGCAAACCATGACTATATTACATTTACACGTTTCACACATATCATATCAACATTTCTAAAGTGACATAATATATGAGCTGACTTTGTCATCAGGAGGTGGAGGGGATGGTGGATGGCGTGTCATCTGGGTGAGATGCCTGCAAAGCTGCAGACAGCTGTTCTAGACCAACAAATATCAAAAGCGGGTGAGATTTAGTGAATGCTCTTTTTTCAGCTGCTTTTTAGTCACCAAATAAGGCTGTTTTGTGGAGCCCTGTCACAGCTTTTTTTCCAAAGCAACATGTCTTGTTTGCAGGAATGTACAAGGCAAACATTTTTTCTTGTGACTGAGTTGATTTTCTGGTGTTTGTTTGATAAAAACTACTGTGGCCATCCGTTGAAGGAAATTACGCAGCGTTTTTAAAAATAAAACTATTTATTTCTGAGGCAGTTTTAAAGATTTCAGTATGTCAATGCATTTACATAATTTTGCCACTTTTTTCTATTTTCTGTGGCGTCCCCCAAGGTTCAATATTGGTCCCATTCTCTTTTACTCTTTTTATGCTTCTATTAGATCACATTTTACAAAAATGTAATCCGACTAGTGCTGTTTTTTGTGCATAAACCTAACCACACGTTAACCACATCATTGCTGAAATCTAAAGTTTCAGTGCATCTGCTACAACATCCATGGTTTGCACAAATGTACAAGGCCAACATTTTTTCTTATGACTGGCCTGTGAATATAAAATTTGAGCAATGACACAGTAAAAATATATTTTCTGATATCAAAGACAAAAAAATTAATGTCATACCAAGTTGTGGACTTCCCCGACGAGGGCCTCGAGTTTTGCGAATATGTCGTTAGCGCAGGGTTTGGCAGGCAGTTGCAGCGTCAAGCCAAGCAGACAGACAAAACACAGATACACACTCGCCAGAGCTAACCTCCCTCTCAGCATGGCACAGGCAGCGAAACCATCATCACATTATCCTCTGCTGTCTCACTCTACTACAACGTCCTCATGGAGATAAACAGCCTTATGGATTTTCAGAATTCGCCCTTAAAGTTCATAACCGACACAGCTAACTTGGGGATTTTGTTAAAGAGCAGAAGTCCATGTTAAAAGTTCCACTGAGCGACAAGGAAATCTTCCTGTAATCCAAGAGGCCTGTTTGAATCCCAGACCAGCTGAGAAGATCTTTACAGCGAGCGTTTCTTCTTCTATTCCTCGAGCAAGGCACCAGCTTCCAGACTGCCGCTTAACATCTGGATAACAGAGAACAGAGAACAGTCAGTAAAGACTCAATGTTCTGAAATCAAAACCTCATTTCTGGTACAGATGAGTTGTTAAGGGAACACAGTGAAATAGTTCAAAGGCTTCCAAAAGTGGTCTAAAAATTCTCCATGAAGGGTAACATCACATGTTCATCTTCACTTACACTTCTTCAGTAGGCTCTGCAGTCAGACAGTCCACAGCAGGACCAGATTACCACGACATGAAATTTAAGAATACACAGGAAAAAAAAAAAGCTGCAATCTGAAACCAAATCCCATCGAAGAAACGACAGATTTTCTTGGTGTTCCAACAAGTTCATACGTCTCTTTGGTTCACCCGTTTAACTTTAGACTTCAGGGTGAAGAAGCCCAAAAGCAGATCTGTGCATTACATCCCCAAAACGGAGAAGAAGAAGAAGATAGTTTTCCTCCACCAGCAGCTGATTTCTGCCTCCTCTGTGCAGGAGTTGTTGAGGTTTGTCTCCACGTGGTTAAAAGCGATAGCCTGATCTCTCACCAGAGAGCTTCCTCAGCCTCACTCTCCTTCCTCCTCTCCCTCTCCCTTCTGTCACGCTCCTCAGTCTTTCCCTCCAGTTTTCACTCAGTCACTCCTCCCCACTCCTCCTTTTTTGGCTCAAGGCAGTAGATCAGTTACATTGAACTCCCATCTCTCCTCTCAGACAGCTAAACATTGCCTCCTAACTCGTATTCTTTTTGAGTGTTCAACTTCTCGATCTCGTTCTCTGCCTCTCCAACTTCTCCCTCCTTATTTTTTTGGATGATCAGTTCTCACGTTACAACCCTGCAGGGAGAGTCAGCTCCATAAATCACTCAGACATCTCTGTGTTTGTTTATGCAAATCACAGGTTTATATGGTGAGTAACTCGACAAGCTGAGGGAAATGACAAACACTTACAGAACACTCGGAGCTAAACACGATGTGCATTATATAAACAATGCTATTAACAAGCTTTCACCAAAGCTTGATGTGGTCCGCTCAGATGTGTCAGAGGACGACTCTGTACGTTGAGGAAAGTCCTCTTCACTAACAGATGTTATTTAGTATGAAGGGTTGGTTTTGTACATGGAGGACAAACAATGGTCTGTCCATTGTACAGACGCTGTACGATTGACAGACCAGACTGTCAGCTGAAAGAGCCAAAGATCCCTATAAGCAACAGCCTAAGGTGAACCAAAGAAATCAGCTGTCATTGGTAGAACAAACTGAAGGCTCAGCATTAAAATGTGAGTAGATATAAATAGGAACAGGTTCCTGTTTCACTCTCCGCTTTTAGTTCCTGATCACACAGAAAGTGTTTTGCAGTTAGCAATACTCAAGGCTCATCACACTGCCTTTTTTGTTTTTTATTGAATGCCGAAACGCTTGCTGCGCCTTTTTATTGTTGCCAGGCAACCAAGCCATCACTAACACTTACACTAACCTTCCCGTGTAATCAATCTACCGTTATTTATTTGTTTTATTTATTTCACAATAATGAATATCTAGATCCTGCCATGTTGAGGCAGAGGGTTCTGTCTGTAGCTCTGGTTGAGGGTGAGAGGCTGTCAGCAGATAAACAGAGATCTGTGTGGGTACATGAGACCCTAAAAAAGAGGCTGGATCATGGGGAGTACCACCAGTTGGTCCAGGAGCTTCTCCTCCATCATGGACGCTTACAGGCAGATTTTAGGACGACTCAGGGGCAGTTTGACAACCTGCTGTCTATCATCAGGCCATATAGCTCTGGGTATCCAGCAACCACTACCACCAGTTTCTCCTCCATTGTTTACCAACTGTAAACTTGTTGTCGTGACCACCACAGAAGGCCCGCCTCTCAAATCATCTGATTAGAGTTTTTTCAACTCGAAGAGTTCAAAGTGCTCTGGCAAAAATGCTAGGCTCCTAGAGCGCACAAGGCACGTAGCAACGCAAAAACAGCGAGCAAAAAGCTTCATCCCTTTAAAAAAAATACAGAAAACAAACTGCCTTCAACTGCTAAAATGCTTTTGGTGTGATCGCGGCCTTACACTGCCTCTTCAAGGTGGGAATATCATGCTGTTACACTGCCGCACTGTTCTGTATATAAGATCTTGTAAATATATTCTATGGAGGAATGGGGGGACAGAGTGTTCTCGTCTTTAAGCCACCACAGAAGGTAGTAACAGCACCGAAACGTCTGTGTGAAAGGGACAGTCTGCGGGATAAGATTATGGGCGGCACGGACATTTGAACAACATGTTATGTGTGCCAGAGATTTTGAAAGTAGCTGTTAGCTGTAAGAGGCTAACTCAAAGAAGATGAACAGCAGCCAGAAATGTCCACAAATTGTAAAAACAATGAGGTCCAGGAGCTCCTAACCCTCTGAGCAGAGGACGAGATCAGCCGCCGCGTAACAGAGACGGTAAATAATTGTTACTGACACTTTTTGTCATTGTTATTGTTATATGTCATATTACACACTAGAGGCCAACGGCAAACCGGTATGGAATAAAGCAGGTCTCAAAGATAAAAGAAAGCTGGTTGTAGAACAGATACGTAGACAGGAAGAGATGCTAAGGGGTGCAAAGGTAGTGGCCCAGGCTAAACAGGGACAGTGGTTGAATTGGGAAAGTGTAGAGAAGAGGAAGCTTAGTTGGAGGGACCTGTGGAGTATGGAGGAGAATCCTATTAGATTCCTGGCAGGGGCTACATACGATGTGTTACCAACCCCCCAGAACCTAAAACTGTGGGTAAATGAGGACCCATCATGCCCATTGTGTTCATGTACCTCAACCTTAAAGCATATTTTGTCAGGCTGTAAAGTTAGCTTGTCACAAGGCCGATATACATGGCGACATAACCAGGTGTTGAAATGTTTAGCTGCAGGCATCAAAGGAAAACGAAGACAGGTGAATTCAGAAGGTGTTAAGGATAGGAGTTTAGTAATTCAGTTTGTCCGTGAGGGAGAAAAACACAGAAGAGATAAGTTAGTGAAGAGGCAAGGGTGTGGCCGCCTAGAAGGTGCTTGTGATTGGGAAATGCAAGTAGATTTAGGGGAAAGCTTGGTGTTCCCCAGGAAATAGTTTGTACCAGGCAGAGGCCTGACTTAGTGTTGTGGTCAGTGAGTCAACGGATAGTTTATTTCATTGAGCTGACAGTTCCTTGGGAAGACTCAGTGAAAGAAGCCTATGAAAGAAAAAAGCTTAGATATGCAGACTTAGGAGCAGAAGCTGAGCAGCGAGGATGGAAGACTAGGATTTGTCCAGTGGAAGTGGGGTGTAGGGGATTCATAGCAAGATCAACTGTCTCGCTCCTGGGGGAACTCGGAGTGCGGGGACAGAATTTGAGGAAGACGGTGAGGGAAATGTCAGATGAAGCAATTAAATGTAGCCAGTTTATCTATTACAGAAGAAATAATGTCAGCTGGGGGCCAGCAGGGGGAACTACTAAGCAGGGCACATAACTCCTTGAGATCAGGTGGAGAGATCCACTTCCTGTCAGGAGAAATCCAGGAAGAGGAAGTATCTAAGTGTGGGAGTGGCCTATTTGAATCCATTTTGTTTGAGGCCATGCGGCAAGATGAGTGTGTTTGCTGATCCTGTAAGTTCATTTAGCTCCTTTACCTTTAGCTTATATTGTAGTTATGCTATGTAGCGTGTGAAATAGAGTATGGTGAATGTGCTAGGAAAGGTAGTATCAGCCCTGCTTCTACCTTGAGCTCGCATGTACGGAGCCTGGGTTTGGTTGAAGGTGGCAGTGCTGTTTGGGCTGAGAAAGCCATTTGTAAGTAAGGTAAAGGAGGTTATTGGGTTGGTGCGGGGAGGGGAGCAGTGAGACCTGGCATTAGGGGAGTGTCTCTGGGACGCTAGAGATCACTGTCTAGCCTCCTGGAGGTGTCGTGGGACCAACTAGACTAAACACTGGTGAAAGGAGGTTCCCACCCGATGACCCCAAAGACATGCTAGTTATCACTGCTCATTGGTTTGTATAGTTAAGCCTTGCCATATTAGCTTATCATAGGGCTTAGGTTTTTCACTGAGTGTTGATCCTTTCTCTAGAGCACAAACTTCTTGTGTTTATTTGAACTGGACAGCTCGGGCTCAGAACTATGTGACACAGACACAAAGTCTACAATAATGCCAGTGCAAAGTCAGTGAGGACCTTTTGTCATGGTGAACACACAAATTAAGCAGAGTGAGAAAGCCTGTGTAGGATGGGATACAACCACTGGTAACAGCTATTCAATAGTGTCCGGAACATTTAGATGGAAACCTGAAAAAAAAGGTTGTACAGGAACAGTACTTTAACTGAGAATTGAGACAAACATACAGGATCACTTCTGGAAAATGGGCACGCTGCTGAATACTTGCCAACCAGACTACATGACTGAGAGAAAGAAAAAATACATCTCCGGTAAAGAAGCAGATTCATTTCCCAGCTGTTATCAGAGACACCAGACACATGACCAATCCTATCAGTCTCAGTTAAGTCCAAATGTTCTCATCTTATCTAAAATTACAGGTACTGTTGTTTTAGCTGCCAGAGAGAGACATTTCTAAAATTCACAGTTCATCATCAGTTCACCCAAAGTACTGAAACATCCAATACAGTTTCATCTAGCACACAGATTGTTTTGCTTTTATTTGTGCAGGTTTGGAGACAGACTTTCACCCTAAAACAATGACAGATGATTAAAGATAATTAAGCTTAATGACGGATAATAATGAATGTCTGTCACATCATAAAATGTTCATACTGAGTGTACTTGAAACCTGTTTACTTTCAGTGTTTTTTATTTGTTCTCCTACATTATTCCCTCATGGCAGCCAAAACACGACTAACATTTCTATGGTTATGTTTTACTGTTTCACAGCAGCTTCAAGGAAATAACTGCTTTAATCTCCCGTGGTGACAGTATATATAAAGGTCACAATATAAAAATAGTGTTTGTTGTTTCATTCTGATAAAAACAATAATAATAACAGAAAAGTATTTTAGAAACACATGTCAAATTGAATGCTGAATTTTGCATTTTTCTCTGGTTCCTCTATATTATATACTAGTCCATACCCACTGAGTGCATAGTTGCCCACGCACAATTTCACATGGTGTGTGTTTGGGACACAGGTCATAGGAAATTGCAGATTAAATAGTCAACTGAACCCATTAAGAAGAGCAATGTATTCAGACAGAGTGTTTGTGAATTTGATAGTATGATTGCTTTATTGAAAGTACAGTAGTACCATTGCCAATAGTGGGATAGTTAGTGGGCTAAAACTGTACATTAGTAGTTGAGGTAGCACTTTGAAAGGCAGATAGTTAAAGTGTTTATATGTTGTATTGACTTAAAAGTGGGGCGCACTGGTAGTTCACATGGGAAAAGAATATATTAAAAGTGTAATTTTTGGAAAAAGTAGCTTTGTCACCTTCTACCTATGGCGGTTAGGCCTAGATAAGAAATGAGCTCTCTAGCGCCCCCATTTTGTTTGATGGGGTCAATAATGGAGGGGTCCCCTCAGATTATGTGTGGTCATATGCCTACAAAGTTGCGTGGTGATGGGTGAAACCCTTGAGATGTTCTACACCTTTATGTGATGAGCCACGCCCTCCGCAATATTCACATGGATTGACCAAGTCAGTGAGGAGAAAAACATGGAACAGACACACACACAGAGTTTTCGTCATTTTATACTAAGATAAAGCCTTCACAAAAAAAAATAAATAAATAAAATAAAAAAAAGTCTGGCTGACATGGATTCCAGTCTATAAACATACGTCCTGTGGAAATTCCAGGAATGTATGTTGAAATGGTTCCTCATTAATTTGAGATGTGATGTTTTTCTGGAGAAAGAAGTCTGTTCAACAGGAAATCATAAAATTCATGTGAAGTGTGGGAAGATGTAAAAAAAAAAAAAAAAAAGAGGGAGACTCATCATGACATTATTAAAACCTAAAAAAAAATAAGACAGAACACACTCAAATGACCTCCCGGCAGTTGTTGGCCTTGGCTCACCAGTCAAGTTTCTCTGACAGTTTCCATCCATGTCTGTGAAAACATGGATGCTTCACACACAGAAGTTGTTGATGATGACGATGTTCCTGAAATATGATGTTAAATGACAGACAGAAAAGTGTTTTATGCTGAACATGATGATGTCACAGGGAAGTTGACCTTTGACCTTTTGGTTATAAAACGTCATCACTGCGTCATTTTATTCTGTTAGACATTTGTGTGAAATTTTGTCACAATTGGTGTATGAATTCTTTGAGTTCTGGCTCTAAAAATGTTTTGTGAGGTCTCACTGACCTTGATCTTTGACCTTCAACCACCAAATTCTGATCAGTTCATTCTTCAGTACAAGTGGATGTTTGTGTCAAATTTGAAGAAATTCTGTTTCTTGATGTTCACCAGAATGAGACAGATGCAAGCTCACAGTAACCTTGACCTTTGACAACCAAAATCTGATCAGATCACTGAGTCTAAGTGGACATTTGTGCCAAATCTGAAAAAAATCCCACAAGGCAGTCTTGAGATACGTTGTTCACAAGATGAGACAAAAAAGGTCACAACAACTTTCACTTTTGACCACCAGAATCTAACAAGCTCATCCTTGAGTGCAAGTGGATGTTTGTGCCAAATCTGAAGAAACACCCTCAAGGTGTTCTTGAGATATCAAGTTCAAGAGAATGAGACAGACCAAGTAAGACCTTAAACCTTGACCTATTACCAACAAAATATAATCAGTTCATGCTTGTGTCCAAGTGCCAAATTTAAAAATATTCCCTCACATTGTTCTTGAAATATCACGTTCACAAGCATTGGACAGACACCCTTAAAAGTCCTGTATTTAAAATCTTACTTAAGTAAAATTACAAAAATAGCATCAAAATATAAGTAAAAGTGCTGTTCTTTTTCAGATTATAATTTAACGTGTTCTTCAATTTAATGTTGCAGCTGGTAATGTGTGTCGTCCACCACCACTGCTCATTGCCGTCGTGCCTGTCTTGTGTATTCTATTTTTTACCCCTTCCTATTTTCCCTTCTCTCCAAAGGCTTTTTGTGATTGTAAATCTGTGAATTCTGTAAATCAGTGAAGGACCTGAAAAGCAGCAGGAGTTCCCGTCAAACCAAGAAATAAAGACGAGTAAAGCTCTTACCGCAGAGAGAGTTCCAGTGAGGACGACAGCCGCGGAATGAGCAGGTGAAAGCCAAGGTCGAAGTCTACAGGTCGAGTAGAAACCAAAACTGAAACCGAGCTGCACACATGAGAAAGACAAGATATCTGGAGGGCACAAGCTCACTGATAAGCTTACAGTACACAGTAGTTCACTCTGCTGCAGCGTCTCAAACACTGTGTGGCATGTCTGCTTTCAGACAACAGGAAGCTCCCAGCAGTCAGACATTTCTTTCTATGTATATGAGTGTCTGTTGTCTGTAGCAGAGGCAGGAAACTGTGCAAAACAGCCTCCTCCAAAGTGGAGTTTGTGACTGTGTGACTCACACTGGTTGAGGGAAAGTGACTGCAGTCACCTGGTGGGCAGGTTGCGGAGTCACGGGTGGAGACAACCAAGATAAGAGAAATGACACAGGTAGAACATGTAAAAGACAGTTTGCAGAAAACAGACAATAATTAGTTCTTCAGACTCCCTCAGGTCGAGTCATTGTTGAACACGATGAGTAAATGTACTGTTTAGCACGGTGAAAATAAAAGACATGAGTCACTTTGTTCTGATTTTGCACCACATACCTTTATTTTCCGTACATCTCACTGACGCTATGAGGGTTACCGGATGAAGATTTAGTTAATATTTCCCTTTTCACCAGTTCCCAAAAACATTATGTTCTCTCCAGTTTGTCACCAGTGCCCTGCAGAAATCACACATCTCTTTATTTTTTCTAATATTTGACATTTTCATTTCAATTGTAACCACTAGTTTAATTTTTTAAATACTTTACTTTCTATCACTGACTATCAGTTTCAGTTTATTATTATTATCAGACTCAAGGTCCATACTAAAAAACATACAACACTCAATGCATAAAAACAGATCACTCAATCAATTAACAACATATCCTAGACATAAGAATGTAGGCTTTTCTCTCGGGCGTAGATTTCTATGGCTACAGCGTTTACTCATACAATGGTTTATACGATGACTAACAAATTAGTGCTCCATGAGTGACGTCATCATGCCACATACTTAACATGAATTTATGTAGGTTGGGTTTAGGAAAAGAAACATGGTTCTTACGTAAGCAGCGTGAAGTTACGTACTTAAGTTATGAAGGTTAGATTTTGGAAAATAAGGTTACATAGATTAGATTAGGGAGGGAAAGATGGCTGAGCATCATCACGTTGCGTACTTAACTTTAAACTACGTAATTAACATAAAGTTGCTTAGGTTAGATTTAGAAAAAGAAACGTGGTTGGGTATGGTCACATGACGTACTTCACGTAAAATTATGTTTTGAAAATAAAGTTACGTAGGTCAGGTCTAGAAAATGAAACATATTTGGGCATCGTCACCTTACATGCTTAATGTAAAGTTACATACTTATAAAGTAGCGTGGGTTAGGTTTAGTTACATAGGTTGGGTTTAGAAAAAGAAACACACGATTTGACAAGTTATGTAGTAAACATTAAATTATATATTTAACGTAAAGCTGAGTAGGTTAGGTTTAGGTAAATATAGTTACATAGTCTGAGTTTAGAAAAAAAAATCCATGATTTGATGTCGTCATGCTACATACATAACGCAAAATGATGTATTTAATGTAAATTTGCAGAGGTTAGGTTTAGAAAAAAGAAACATCGTTGGGCATCGTCACATCACGTAGTAAAAGTAAAATGATTTAATTAATATAAATTTGTGTAGGTTAGGTTTAGAAAAAGAAACAGTTTGGCATGGTCACGTTACGTACTTAACGTACGTAAAGTTACATAGGTTGGGTTTAAGAAAAGAAACATGGTTGGGTATCGTGACATAACATTATAATTGTAAAATTACATAATGTAAAGTTGCATAGATTTGTTTTAGGAAAAGAAACCTGTTGACAACGTGCCTAAATAACTTGAAGTTCACTTGCTTTCACACGGGACACACGCATCAGTCTCGTGCAGAGTCAGTCTCGTCCAGGCTGCTTCCTTACACCCCGTTTTGCTCTTTAAACCACTTCCTTCCTTCCTCCTGTCAGCGCATTGGTCATGTGATCGCAGCCTACATGATTACGTAGGTTATATACGAAATCTGGGGCATTGCCTCTCGTAGGTATACTGTACGTATAAACAGTGCATGAGAGCAGCCAGATCCCAGCCTTGCAAACTGTTGGTGAGCTGGTTTGTCTACAAGACAAAGAGCTGAGCATAAAGAGGCAAGAGTCTGTGTGTCACAAACTTTGAGATGCATATTCCAAATGCACTGCATGCATGCGCAAAGAATGCTCCCGACACCCCAAAAATACCGGCACATCCTACATGTCTCATTTGGAAAATGCTACATTCAGAAAAAGGCCTAATTTGGAATATCCAGATGGAATATGCTGTTCCCATGACACATGATGAATTTGGAGTATTGCCAATTCTGAATCATAGTGTGCATGTACATATAGTTGCTGGAAGCATTTTCTAAGCTGTGCTCATCACCAAAACTGTAAGCCGTGGGTGTTAAATTTGGTAGAAAATTCAGTGTTGACTCACCAGCCTCTCAAAAAAGCTAGGAGTGATTTAACTGACAACCAGACCAAATGAAAACCACAAGCCTTCTGCTTTAATCACTGCTTCAATCAACATATCAGAAGTGTCAGTTGTCCCCTGTGTGCAGAGGTCATGCAGCATTTTCCACCTAACCGGCTCTCTGTACTTTTGAAAACTTACTGAAGCTCAAGATGCAAGGTTTCTAAAGGGCACTGATGACAGGAGAGACCGAACCGACTGAGCACATCAACATGGGAACAAAGTCATCATTAAAAACACACAGGTATTGGCCTGGTCTGAAGTTAAAGCAGAACTTACCAGACGCGTCATTTTCAGACACACACTCGCACACACACACACACACACACACACACACACACATACACACACACACACACACTTGATGCATGCACCCAAGAGCTGAGGACACTGTGCAAAATACCAACATTACTTTAAGGATAATAAGTGCCAAAGAGAATAAGACTAACTTCATAAATAAACAATAAAATAATAAAAAAATAATAAAAAAAAGAATAATATAATGGTTAAAAAGATAGATTATTAATAACCACAGTAATCACCAACCTTAAACACTGGCCTCAGAGAGCCTGACATGACATGACATGATGTTTGTTCAACACAATATAAAAGAAAAAGAAATAAAACATTAAGTAACTGTGATTGCATACAGCACTGGTTGGACACTCGACCTTCAACGCGTCTGCAGCTGCAGGATCAGCAGAATTGGATGTAGCCCAGCTCAATACATGCTAAAAGTTACTGATTTAACCGTCTGTTACAAAAGAGTGTAGAATGAATTGTTCCTCCAAGATGTCATCATATCCACAGAAAGTCCAGAACCGCTCAGAAAGGAAAATACAACAAAGAGAATTCAGACCGCTAAATGATGACCAGCTGTGTGATCCTAATTTTTGGTTGCCAGATCCACAAATTCATCACATCCAGCTGTGGATATTCAGGGATTTTGGGTGCTCATCCAGCACGATCACAGCCACATTATACATTTCTACTGATGGCAACATAATTTCTTTACTTTTTACAATATTAAGATCTTTAAAACAATTCCATTAGCATCCATTCAAAGTATTAGCCCAGACTGAAAAATGCAAGCCATGTGCAGGTAGAATTTCCATTCCTAAAAGGTCATCTGTTCATAAAGCTCTTCCAGATGATTCAATGCGTCGTCTGCATTACATCTAAACCTCAACGCCTCCCACCACGCTGAGAGGAATCAGTGTCAAATAGGGTTGACAACATTCATCATGTCCCTTGGATGTGAACTTATCCCCAAGTTGAAGTACCCCATGTTTTGCCACTGGAGAAAGATCATTTCAGCATGAAGTTATGAGGGTCTCATGGTCTCCATCAAGCCAGGGTACAGCTCTGGAGGTCTGTGCCATCAACTGGCCACTGAAACCACCAGTTACACTTCTAATGTGTCCTGGCCATAAATTAACAAGTGCACATCTTCTGTAATGCCTTGTTCTCTCATTACTTTTTTGTTGGCCCTTCTTGTCTTGTAATTCCATGTAAGATCTTTATTTCTTTCATAGTCTGTTACAGTTCTGAGAAAGAGGGGGAGGAAGATGTGAAAGTCCATTGATGCTCACTCTCCTTGCCATCTGCCCCTGTCCTGGTCCTCCAGCTCCTGCTCCACCCTGCAGGGTTTGGGTCAGGCTAACTTGGGCGGTGCTGAAGGAGGTTATTCGACCACTTCCAGCAATCTGGAGGTTGACTGTGGTGGCATAGCTGGTCTTCTGGTTCCCCTGTTTGGTAGGAGATGAATGGGCAAAGGGTAGTGGTGATGAGCATGGGGGCAAGGGCGAAGCGATTGAGGGTGCAGGAGGTGTTGTGGATTGGCAATTGTGGTGCTGGTAGGGGGCAGTCAGAGGAGAGGTAATGCCAGAAGAGGAGAGGACCATGCATGAGGAGGAGAGGTTTTGTTCACATGAGGGCCGGGCAACGTAGGCGCAGATCAGCTGGCTGCGACAATTCCCCTCCTCTAGCTCTGGGTCTTCCCACTCTGTCTGGCTGTGTGATGAAACAGGAGAGGAGAGGAGCGTGTGCGAGAGCGAGGAGAGAGGAGAAGGAGAGGAGGCAATGATAGTGGATGTAGCACTTGCATCAAGGCTATCAGTTCCCTTGTATTTGTTTGAAAGCTCTCGTACATCTGGCCAGGGCACACTGGTGAAATGCTGCCCACCAATGGTGCCCTTCCCTGGGGTAAGCCTGCTAGGTGAGAGTGGGGACTGAAGCCCGCCTCGAGGGCTGAGGCAGGACGGTGAGCTGCCGTACGAGGACCACCCACTCCTTGGACTGGTTGGACAGGACTCCTGTTGGTCAAAGGACCCTCGACCACTACCACCAAAACCAAGGGACCTGCGACTGCTATCTGCCCATGAGCGGCGGAGCCCACTAGTGTTGTTCCGGGATGGACTAGGGGGTCTGTCCGCCAGGTTGGAGGAGAAAGACCTACGGAGGGTTTGGGAGGTTGCAGGAGGACAAGGTGCGGAAGGGGAGGAGGCTCTGGAACTACGCAGTGGGACCACAAAACAAGAGGAAGAGGGGAAAGACGCGTTCTCCAGTGTTGGCGAGCCTATTGAGGAAGAAAAGGAAGGAGATGCAGAGGAGGAAGCAAGTCTAGGGTTTCTAGGTTGAGGTGCTGCAACGTTATTTGCCCAAACATTCACTGACACGCCAATAGGAGGTGGGGAGAGTATCTGAGGGCTCAGACTTGAGGAAGACTGCCCAAAAGCTGAACTTGCTGAAGAGGTCTTGGGTAGCTCCAAAGTTAGGCCTAGTGGGTTATGAGAACTCGCACTTCCTAGACGCATACCCCGAGGGTGGGGAGGTTTGTTAGCCATAGGGGAGGAGTAATTATGTTGAGGAGGTGGGGAGCAGAGGCGAGTGAAGGAGGCAGGGGTTGGAGAGGGAGATGGGGACTGAACTCGTGAGCTGGGTTCGGACGCAGAAAAGGGCCGAGCTACACGGTTGTGTGACCCCGACCAGAGAGGATCTGTGGCGTTGGTGCTACCATTAGCTAGCGGCGCCCTCTGTGGACTTACTGACCAACCCCCATTACTGATGGCATGGTTATTACTTACATTGCTAATCGCTAAGCTAATGTTGTTATTGTTGTTGTTGTTTGCATTCTGTGATGAATCAGTTTTGGAGTGAAGGAATGAGGGACGAGGGGAAGGGGAAGAGGGCTGATGATGGGGCAGACTCATAGATGGGGAATGGACTGGATGCTGACTGGGAGGGAGTTTGGGTGAAGGCGATCGCCGTCGTAGATGAGAGGAGGGTAAGGAAGACATGGGGGAGGGGGTTTGGTTTACTGTGTTCACAGGCGGGGCTTGTTGCGGGGCATTGTTCTTTTTTGCCATACTCTGACTGATGGACTGGCTAATACAGGAGGCAGCTAAAGATCTGGTGAACGCAGAAGAAGAAGCGACGGGGGAAGAGCATGGGGGAGAGCGGAGAGAAGAAGACGGTGTAGGGGAAGAAGGAGGACCTGCTCTCATGGATGAAGACCTCCCAGAAGAAGAGGAAGCAGGGGAGGGTGAAGAAGAGGAGGCAGGGGGAGCTTGCATCGAGGTACCCCTCCCAGAAGAAGGAATAGGAGAGAAACGGGGAAGAGCCCTGGAGACAGTGTTCAGGGAGGTATCCTCAGCAGATACAGTGGTGGCAGAAGATGCTGGAGCACCCCTGAACGGTGAGGAGCAGGGAGGTGCTCGGACAGAGGAGGAGGAGGAGGAGGAGGGGATAGCTTTGACAGGGGAAGGGGAGCGGTGTCTAAGGCTGGGTCTGAAGGCTGAAGAGGCTGTGGTGAGGTCTGTGTCCAGGCCAGGGGTGACAAAGGCTGGGTTAGGTCTCTCCATCAGGCTGGATGTCTCTGACGAGGGTCGAGAAGATGGGCGGCTGCCTGAAGGGAGGCATCGTGAACCCTGCTGATCTGATTCCCTAAAACTGAGAGAAAAGCACAGATTAAAAAAGAGCAGACATTTTAAATAGTTTATTCGGATGACGTTCTTTTTTTTGACTGCCATGTCTGAGTCTGAGTCTGAATGATGCAGTATTCAGACTGACATAAGCATCAACTGTGGTTTACTTTGGCTTGTTTAAGGACAAAATGACAAGTATTGAAAAATCATAAACTCTTGCACTCCTTGCACCATGGCTGACTCCTGCAACTTCTTTAAAGTCTGAATGATACTTTCAACCTCAGTTTCCACCAATTTAGATCTCAGTGGATGAATCAGAAACTATTTGAAGTGGTGCATGTAAAAATGCAGAAACAATGTATACTACAGCGTTTGGTACCCTTTAGTGTTCAGTTGCACCCTGTGTTCATCCCCAGGTTGTCAACTCTGTGTCATGCCCCTTTGCTTGTGATATGCCAAAAGGCACCTTTTAGCGGGCTGTCAACTAACTCCAATGTAAACCCACACACAGCAATACCTGATACTGAATGCAGCGGACATGTTATAAAGAGTGAGAAAGTATGTGTAGGATGATGTTTTGATGTCACATTAGGTCACGTAACAAACGTACTTCTTTTATCCCAAACACGATCATTTTCTAAACTTAAAGCCCCTACAAGGAACTTTCATTTTGAGTTGATTTTGGCGACCCTGTGGACCAAAGCGGTAGTGTTTTGCCGGAATGAAGCCTACATTTCCCATGAGCTCTAGCGCGTATTGTCGTAAAGACACTTACCTGGCTCACGCATGTTTTTGTTTTGGGGATGAATGAAACAACAAGACGGGAAAACTTTGCTCCCGCTCCTATCGGGGATCCCAGCTCACCTCTGCCGCGCCCCAGCTCCACCTCTCCTGCGTAAGCACCACCTCCGCCGGGGTAAACGCAGCGGTCGCTGGTAAGGCTGAAGGCCTGTTTGGCGAGCACTTCCACGGCTTCTTGGACTGAGTATGGAGCGGTGCCTTGCCTCTTTATTTCTCGGCACTCGCTGGACCCTGTTGACGCCTGGCTGGTACCTGTCGTCGGCCCGGATGAGGTGTTCCAGCCCCGCGGCCCCTGCTCTCCTCGTCCCCGCTGGCGCGGGTGAATCTACGAAACCTGCGGCCTCTGTGTGTGGCTCCCCGGACAGCTAATGCCGTGGACCCACCAGCTCCTGCCAGGATTGGGCTGGTAAATGCTAGATCGCTAGCGAACAAAATGTTTATCCTGAAGGATTTCCTGACTTCCCGAGGATTGGATTTTCTCTGTGTGACTGTGACGTGGCTGACTGTTGGTGAGTCCAGTGCTTTCACAGAACTTTTACCTGATGATTGCTGCTATTTTAACTCCCCGCGGACGTCGGGTCGAGGAGGAGGAATAGTGACTATTTATCAGAGTCACTATAAATGTAAGCAGCTAGGTAAGATGACGTGTGCCGTCTGAGTGCCGTAAATCGTTTCGTCCTGGAAGCGACCTGGGGCGGACCCGGAGACAGTTTCCTAAAGGTATGGATATACACTATATAGAAATAGCTTATCTTCACATCGATGGTCTCATTTGCTGTTGTAGGTCACGCACAGACATCAGCAGAAACAAGAGACTTTTGCATATCCAGTTAAAAGTTCCTTGTAGCGGCTTTAACCAAGCAGTTTCACAACAGTAATCACGTGTTACAACTTGCGTCAGCTGTGTGTCACATTGATAAGCTAAATGGTGCCCTGTGCGTCACTACCAGATGCCGACGGGCATGACAACATGTCTGTATTCAAACACCTTGGAGTTAACGGGTTGTTTCACTGTCCCTGAACGTCAAAACAGACGCAGGAGGGTACCTAGCGTCAGTGCCATATGTTGACGTGTAAGTCCACTGATGAAGCAGCAGTGTTTGACGAGTTGTGATGAGAATGCGTTGGCTTGATTTACCAGCAAAAGCAAAGGAAACATGCAGTCTAGTGTTAACGCGACAAGAAGCTGAGAATATTCAGCTGTTCCCGAGAAATTTTCCCCATTCAAATGAATGGATGAATGTTCAAATCTGACGCAAATTCAAGGTTGTTCAAGCATTCTGAAAGCCTATTTCTTCATTCATGCATTCACTTAGAAATTCAATCTTTAAAATGTTCCCCAGCTTTTGTACATTCTGGCTTGTATTCAACTTCCAAATCCCATAAATTTTTTTTTAAATATACAGACTTGTTTGGAGCTTGGTAAAAATGCCCTTTTCAGATTTTTACATTGGTTTGTTTTGGACACAATGTTCAGAGCTGGAGTGGAGGACTCAGAGTGCAGATAGCTTCTCAAAAGTTTCTCTTTAAATTGCTGCCACGCCCACAATTTTCACTCTACATACATCATTTTTGGTCAAAATGAAGCAAAACTTGTGCACTTTCAAAAAATGATGCTTTGGAAGCAATCTGACTTACACATTCACTCACTTGCACAGTGAGCCTGAAAATGAGAGAAACCCTAATAACTGCCGCATTAAACTCAGTATTAACTGAGACCAGAAAACTATTCCACAGCATTCATATATTAATGGGATTATTCAAGGTTTAAGACACCATTGCAGTGTAGCGTCAGCTTTTCAACATGCAGCATTCACACCTGCCATTTCTTCAGAAATTGCATCCTCTAGTTGGCATTTAAAGTCGTCCCAATTCTAAACAAAGAGTGCCTGTTTAAATTACTATTGTCTCTGTTGGGCTCGTTCTTCATGACTCTACATGCCTCCATTACCTCTTGCATTATGTAATATCACATCTTGTCCACATCTTATGTAGAACTCTTGTTATTTTTGGGGAGGTACTGCAAGGCTGAAATCTAACAGTGTTTTTGTGTGCAGTATATCCCAGTAGTAGCTGGGGAAAAGAATAGAAAATATAAGGCAAAGTGCTAAAGGGCTTAAGTTGAATTCTCCAGTTTAGTGAGTTGGAATACCAACCACAGCTGCTCTCACTTTGTGTGATGTTGTTTGTGTTTTCTACTTGCTAACTTTCTGCTAGCTTGGTAAAACCTTAAACTTCCTTTAGCCCACACACACACAGACACACCCACACCCACACCCACACCCACAAACAGTTGTTGTGTACTTAAAACACAGCCAAGTGATTTGGCTGAAGGCGAATTTTCCACAGATAACAAGCCAAGGTGACATTCCTCAGTGTGTTATTAAATCTCTGGCGTGAACAAAGTGCTAACAGTTCAGAAGAGTTCAGTTCATGCCCCTACGGCGCATTCTTTGAACAAAATAGGCCTGACTTAACCTTTTGGTTTGTTTTACCATGAAATCGATCAAATCGCAGCCTGATTAAACGGTCCTGTTTCTATTTTTGACATTTGGTATTTGTTAATGAGCCAAAAGGACAAAACAATGGGCCAAGCATGATTTGGGCGGCTCAGCAGTTCATTTGAACCTCCAAAACATGTCTGGGTAGGGGGTAATCTTAGGTCAGAGCTGGGTTGGCTTTTGGGTTATGCTGAGGTGAGGGTTTAGGATCAGGTTTATAGCTACTGAATGAGGAGCTTCTGCAAATTAGTAAATCCCTCTGTTGAACATACAACATGTCTTGTTTTGTCTGATAGCAAGTCCTTCCAACTCCCTCATGGATTTCACGGGTTTTTGGGGGACTGTTGCAGCCTACAATGCCTGATATCGCAGCTGTTTTTCTAAAAAAAAAAGTGAAATACTTTAATATGTTTCAGCATATTTTGCAGGAAATTGCAGTACCAAGAAAAAAATGATAAAAAAAATAGTTGCACTTTTTGGTGAGATAAATAATTTAAAATCAAAGGCAACTTATTCAAGTGACAATAAAACCAAACTGTTCTGAGTTTGTGCTACACTAACCAGTGGCGTAAGGTAGTTATGACGGGTCCTAGTGTGCTCTAGTTACTGGTAATGAAGCCCCCCCCCCCCGCACACACACACACACACACACACACACACACACAGTGTGTCTCACTACTGCTTTTATGTTATATCTACTTGCAGATTTTGCACTGAAACAAGCTGCTGTGGATCGTAAAACCATGATGGAGATGGGTTAGCTGTTTTGAAGGCGTATAAAGAAGATCATATAATTTTTGATTTAACATGAGTTCCTCTTTGAACACAAGTGTATTTCCAGGTGGCAGTTGGGCCCCTCCACCCCACGAGCCCCAGTGCAATCACGCCCCTGACACTAACATTACCACTAATCATTTAAAAGAGTATGTCAACCACAAAATGACCATCTGTTTAGCAGTTACTCACTGTATGTTACGTTGAACTTGTAAAGAAAATGTCCCGTCCGGTGACCGGAAGTTGAAGTAAACAGGGACTGTGTAGAACAACAGCACAACTACATCCAAACGTCCGTTCACAAACTCTCACACAACTCACTTGAGTCTCATTTATCAAGTTGTATGCTCTGTACTTGTCAAACACATGCATTTCACTACAACATTATGGTTTCAAATACTTAGCGAGCCCTGAACATGCCTGATAACAAGTGTGTACATGAGCTCCACTGTGACAGTTCAAACACAAATGCAGGCACGAAAGTTGGCTGTGCATGAGATTGTTTGTATTGACATGTTTTCATTTGTAAGGCTATAGCAGAATAAATGAGATTTGTAATATACTGGATGAGTTATGTGAGAGTTTGTAAACAGATGTTTTTATGTAGTTTTGCTGTTGTTAAACACGGCCCTGTCTGATCTAAATTCATGGGGAATATTTGCCTTTTTTGGATTCATCATTTACTGTGGAGTCATGCAAGATAAACAAAGGTTTCCTCAACAATTCAAGGTAACACACTTGGTGAGTAATTCATATACAAATGGTCATTTTGCAGGTGAAGTATTCCTTCAGTCTAGATTTCTTCAGCAATAAATCTGGATGCAACAGATTCTGTCGTGGCGATTTGTCAACCATCCTCTGAGTGTGTTTGTCCATTAAGGATTTTCATTTGTGTTCTACCAAAACCCTGCAGGCAGTGCAAAATGCCATTTTACCCCGTCATTATGCAGAACATCAGGGAACTGCCTTAGACTTTCTTTAGCAGTTATTTCTGTGGATAAATGTTGCGCGAAACCATAACAACTGGTCAAATTTACAAAAAAGTTGAATGATGGACCAAAGTTGCGAGGTTGAGCAGAATCCATGAGGATGGTTGAATTTTCTGTTAGTTGTAGCAATCACAACATTGCAACTTCCTGAGGGGGCTGAAAAGCTGTGGAGAAGTTGTTGTGGGTAGAAATAACAGTGATCTGACAGAGACATACCTGGTGTTAGACAGAGCCTGTGTCCCCAGTGCAGAGGGTAAGTCCTGCGGTCTCTGGCTGGTGAATGTTGGTAGACGGTCTACGGACTGCACAGATGGAGGACGTGGTCGGGGAGGATTTGATTCTGAGTTCTGAACTGATGACCACGGACTTGGTGCTCTTGCTTTGTGATCCTCTGGAGTTTCTGTGACTGTATGACCAGAAACCTGTGAGAGGTCAAAGGTCAAGTGCAAAGGCTGACTCAGGTTTGGTGGAACAACCAGTTCCCCTGGGGATCTGTAATAAGGTGTCTCTTCTGTAAAGATCACTGCTGAACTTTGTAGGATCATCCTGGGCTGAGATAAAGAATCATACTCTGTCTCATTGAATTTCATCTGATCGCTCGCATCTTTCGTTGACCCTACAGAGACCCCCGGCGCGTTGGTGCCTCCCTCTGCCAAGTTAAGTGTTACCCTCTGGGACTGCTCTCCAGCGAGTCCTGGGTGAGGCACTGTGGACCTGTGGTATTCTGAAGGAGCCTGCATCTGTGTAGATGCTACCATCAGTACCAGGTCTCCTGGGGATGCCTCTCCATCCACGGGTCCTGTGCAAACCAAGTATTCAGGCCCTGCATGAACACTCTGCACATCTTTGGTTAACATATCTCTGCTGTCAGTATGTCCTGTGGAAATTTTGTGCTCTGATGCATGTTTATCTTGGGCAGCTGGTAAATTTTGCTTATATTTATACTGCTCATGTCCATCTTTGGAGATTTCCCACTGTGGTATGCTGTGAGCAGAGATGTTTGGCCGTGAGCATGCTGGCTGGGTCGTGATGTTTACACGCTCCTCTCTGACTGAGTAAACAGGGCGTCGACCACTCAGCTCTGATCTGCAAACAAATAAGAGGAGAATCAAACAGTGTCTTTAAAACATTACTCAAGACCGAAAGAGTCAAGAGGGAACACCTGAAAAATGACACAAAATGTTAACACACATAAAGCATAATGATGTAATGGTGAAAGCGGAACGATGGCATCCTAGGCTGCAGTTCTTCTGCTGGTTGCCAGTTACACAAAAATTCTGAGAATGGGAAATCTGCCATATCTTGCCTTGTTAACATTTTTCCACCAGTAGTTTTAGATCTCTCTTGCCAAGTTCAGCACTTCCAATGTGTGGCTAAGTAAAGATTAGGAAAATGAGGCCGAAAAAACAAAACAAAAACCCAAACTACGATTAATGCCTCGCAGTTCTGTGCATCTGTGAACCTGTCCAGTTACTGTCTGTGAAAACTTGACCCTAAGTGGACATTTGTGCCAATATGGAGGAAATTCCCTCAAGGTGTTCTTGAGATATCGTGTTCATGAGAATGAGACGGACGCAAGGTCAGAGTGATCTTTGACCACCAAATTCTAATCAGCTCATCCTTGAGAACAAGTTGATGTTTGTGCCAAATTTGAAATAATTTCCTTGAGGCATTTTTGAGATATCATGTTCATGAGTATAAGACACATGAGGTCACAGTGACCTTGACCTTTGTCTCTTGACCACCAAAATCTTATCAGTTTATCATTGAGTCCTAGTGGACATTTGTGCCAAATTTGAAGAAATGTCGCGTTCGTGGTTCGTTTTCAGCAGGAAATATTTACTGAAATGGATGAATTGAGGTGCATTTAGCTACACAGACCCTAAGCCTTTTGTTTGATCAATGTAAACAGGACATTTCAACATTCAGTTCCCTGAATCTTTATGTATATATCTGTATTTAAATACAGGCCATTGCAGTAGGTAGTGTAGTGCAGGAGGTGGGTCGCAGTGCGTTTCCAGTCCTATGTGCATTATGTTTCACTTACAAACAGAAGTCAAAAGGTCATGACACCTTTACAAGCCACTGCACTTAATAATTTATGAGTTTAAAGTTGGGTAGGCAGTTTGTTCTACAAATGCTGATGTGCATGAACGTCTCTTTAGATGGTGAAAGTCTGATTTAATAGAGGAGAATCCTGCAAAGTTGCTATTCCAGCATTGAAAACAACTGCCCACACTGCAAAGCAACCCAGAAAAGAAAGACGGACTTATCAAAAAGAGAGTCTGACAATAAACCAATCCAAACGTGTCGCTATCAGCAAAGTGTTTAAGAGATGGAGATGAAATGTTGCTTATCGTTTAGCCTTCTGCTAACTGGAGCCAAAGATTCACAGCTGCTGCTTTGAGTTCATGATTACGTAGCTCATGTTAGCTAGAGCCTTGAATCACAGTGCTTCCACTGCCTCAGTCCCTGCCACTTCAGACCACCTAGCTAGAAGGAGAGCAGGCAGCAGCTCCGGAGAATCTAGTAATCAGCCGAAGAAACCAAAATCCAGTCAGCGCAGACTCCAGCTCCGGTGGACCGGACAGCCCGACTCCCACTGGATCAGCAAACTTTCTGTTGCTGCCATTACACAGGTTAGACCTGATACTGGCTACCAGCCCGCTGTGACACCAGGCACTGGTGGGTTTGTGCTGGATTAATTTCAGCTGCTAAAGCCGCTGACCGAAGCTCCGGAGCCTGCCCTCCTCCAGGTGAATCACTCCCCCCATATTCTGTTAATATTATCCACATACCTGTCTCTTCTCTCTGTCTCTTCAGTGTCTGAATAAACCTCCCCATTCATGGTTGACGTCAAGGTGCTGTTACTGGAAGAGCAGCACAAACTGGAGCTCTGATCTTCAGGTTGTGTTCTGAGGTGATGTCTGGATGCTGCAGAGGCCGATGACATGTCAGTGGAGGTTTGCCTGGGGTTGAAGCTGTTTGCCTGGGGCTGAGTGGATAACTGGTCTTTCAGTGAAGTGGGTGGATTTTCAACAGGCAATGTGGAAATCTGGGAATTGTCACCTGATCTACAACCCACACTGGAGTCTTTTTCTTTGGACAAGGCAGAGATGAAGTCCCTGGGCCTGGAGAGGGTGAATCCATTTGTCTGGTGACAAGCTGGGGTCGACTGCTCTTTGACATACACGTGACCAAACATCAGAGGCTCACAGGGGGAAATCGGTGTCTCCTGGAAATCTAGAAGAGAACAACAGAGAACAAATATCTAAGAAATGCACTTTAGAGCATAGAGAGATTAGTTCAGGATGGCAATATTGGTCAGTCCAACACTTCTCTCCAAGAGTGACATAATCTTGAAGTTTTAGGAACCTACCATTTGTCAGGCACTCTGCTCTTTTGGTCATCGTTTGGTCCTTCCGGCTCATGGTTTGGGTCTGGTCCTGGCTGTAAGCCTTGGTCTGGTTCTGGCTTTGGTACTGTGTCTGACTCAACATTTGGCTTTTGGTTTGGATCTGCGACTGCTGCCTCATTTGTGTTATAGTTTGTCTCTGAACTTTGGTCTCGGAGTGAGTTTGGGTTCCATATTTGGTCTGTGAGTGGATCTCAGATTGACTGACTTCCATCTGGTACTGTGTTTGCTGCCGGTACTTAGTTGAGGTCTGTATTTGGGTCTGACCTGACTGGCTTTCCGTTTGGTTCTGAGTTGAGTGTCCAGAAAGTCGACCTGAGCCCCATGACTGGTTCCATAAAGCGCTGGCCCGCTTCTGATGCAGTGGGACCTTCATGGTGCTGGCTTTGGCACTGTACATCCGGGCCAATGTTTGGACCTTGCTCAGAATACGCTCTGAGTTTTCCATTAGCATGGGGTCCGCCACAGGGCTGGCCTCAAATAGCCCAATACCAGCGACATCTGATCCCATGCTCTCAAACAAGACCCGGTTAGAGGTGACGATCCTGGAGTGGCGGGACCATCGACCCACTTTTATCTGACTAGGAAGACCCTCAAGGTTCCCGCTGGTCTTGGCTTGTTTGGTTTTTGTCCAGTTGGAGTGAGTTTTGGCCTCAGTTTTTTGACATTGCTCTGCAGGTGGCTGAGGTGCAGGGGTTTCCTTGTGGCTTCCATTTGGTTCTGCTGGGCCTGCTTGGCTGGGTTCTTGCCCATTAATAACAACCTGGTTTCCAGCACTGCTTTTGAGTATTTCATCTTGGTTCTTGGACTGTTTTGTAATACGTGGCTCCTCTCCTTGCAGAGAGTTTCCACCATGCTCCCTAGTAGCCACAATACTTGTCTTCCCTTCCTGTTTTTCATCCTGTCTTTGCTCCGATGGTCCTTTGCAGACTTTCACATTTTTGTTCTGTATCTCAGCCTCTTCTCTAACAGGCTCTTTTGGATTCAACTGTAGATCCAGACCCACTTGGTTTGAGGTCTCCTTGTCCTGTGTCACAGTTGAGAGTGGTGGAATTGGGGACTCTGCATCAAAATCCAACGAGCTGATTAGCTCATCTGCCTGTCCATCATTCTCTGCATCTACTGGGAGCAGGGTAGGCGAAGAGATGGGACCAGTTGGGGAACAGGGCTCTATCTCTCGATCAGTCACTGTATCGATCGCTTCACTTCTGTCACACTTGCTTCTTCCACTCTCTGGCTCCCCTAGGTGCCCACTAACATCAAATCGTGATACTGACTCCTTTACCAAGCCAGATGGGATTTGAGAGAAACTGTTTCTCCTCTTTGATGCTGCTCCCTCTTCCTGTTCATCTTCCTCCTCTGCCACGCCCTCTTCAGCCTCGGCTGCTGCCTCGTAATAACTCCTGATCTTTTCGATGATCTTCTTGTCGCGCTTGGTTAGGTGGGAGCCTCTTGTTGTTGGCTGGCATCTCTGGATGGGGTGATGAGGGAGATCTTGATTTGAGGAGGAAGTCATGACCTCCGTGTTCACCTCTTCTTTAGGTGACTGACAGCTGCTGCTGTTGTTTTCTCTTTCTTCCTCTGCTGAGATAGAGGGATGATGATGTGTTGTCAGGGCAGGGATGATGCCCTCTCCTTCTCCTTCATCCCTTGTTTTCTCCTCTTCTTTCTCTTTTTCTACCACTTCTCCTTGTGTCTCTACGTCCGCTTCCACTCTCTTTTCCACTTGACTTGTTGCATCTGGAATTTCCTGGACTTTGTTTGTAATTGTCTCATTTTCAGGTTTGTTCTCCTCCCCAGAGCCACCTGTCTGACTCTGGAGGGGGCTTTCGTTCTCCTTCTCTGCTCCTTCCTGCTCCAGTTGCATTGTGGATCCTTGTTCTGGGCTGGAGGGGCAAGCGGCTGGGGGCAGTGGGCAGGTGAAGTTGGTCTGGTTGGATGGTGGCTGGCTCTCTGTGGGCTGATCCAGGACCTGCTCCTGGAAGAAAAGTAAGAAAGCAGTGTATTAAAATGACTCAACCACAGTTTGTATAAAAGCAATAGTTGTTTAACAGGATATCGGGGGGACGTCCATCTGTAAGAATAAAACATACATAAATCTAATTATAAAGCAAGGAATCTCGTGGGTCCTTCATATATCTCCAGAACGGTTTATCCGATCTACTTCACACTTGTTAGGTGCGTTACTAGGTACCCAAGGAGACCTTAAATACTAATGAACTTTAAATAAACAAGTGAACAGTGCATTTTTAGCTCGAATGGTTCTCAAACTATAGTTCGTTTACCACTGGGCTGAAATGAAATGACAATAAATTTTGATTTTGATTCCCGCCCATAGTTCTAGTGCTCCTTCTTTGTGCAGAGTGACCGTGACTGATGACAGTCAACAATAAAATAATCTTCTGACTGGAAAAAACCTGCCTCCTGCATGAACTGTCTGGAGCTGAAAAGGGTGGGCTGGCTGTATTTCAATGGCGGCCATATTGGTGGTACTTGAAGAACCTAATATTAATAATGATAGAGATGAATGTTTTCTAACCGTTGTGCCAGTGTGAATGGCGGTCAGTCCCTCTCTAGCTCTGCTCTGGTTGATGAACTCCAGGATCTCTTCGGTGATGGACAGGGTGGGGGGAGGGCTGAGGGGGCTCAGCTCCTCTTCATCCTCTTCCTCCTCATTTGAACAGAATGAAAAGAAATACAGTGGGATATTTCATTAGTATTAAATAAGGAAATGTATTTATATATCTTTAAAATATAGACCAAGTTGATTCACTCAAATAAGTTAAAGTTTAAACACATTAAAACTGAGTTCAATTTCTAAACGTACATCTCTGCTGTATTTAATGCTGATACACAAGGGGTAATTAAATCAATGAAATGTCAAGTCCAACATAATTCAGTTTAGTAGAATTGTATCTAACTAGTCCATAGCCATTGGTAGCTTTGTCACCTTCTACCTATGCCATTCCTCAATGCCTATGTGCAGTTTCACACAGATTGACCACGTCAGTTAGTAGAAAAACGTGGGACAGACAGAATGACTGACTGACAGAATGACACACTGACAGTTTCCGTGATTATGTACAGCATACCATACCATGACTTAGTCATACCAAACATTAGAAAACAACACCAACATTGGTCCACAGGGGGAGCCACAGCGATCGGTCACATTTTAGCCATTTTGAAGCATTTTTCTGTTGTTATAGCGCCACCCAGTTGCCAATTAGAGTTAAATTTCTCCAGTCACCTTGAGGCGTCCTGTTCTACATATCTACCAAGTTTAGTAAAAATCCATATGGCGGTTAGGCCTAGATAAGAAATGAGCTCTCTAGCGCCCCCATTTTGTTTGATGGGGTCAATAATGGAGGGGTCCCCTCAGATTATGTGTGTTCATATGCCTACAAAGTTGCGTGGTGATGGGTGAAACCCTTGAGATGTTATACACCTTTATGTGATGAGCCACGCCCTCCGCAATATTCATTGCCTTATAGAAGCTCAGTTTTAGTAAGTTTTCCAACTTTTGCCAAGAGGGAACTTTAGATATTGGTCCCTAGATTATGTTCACCCAGTTTCATGCAGATCGCTCAAACTTCCTAGGAAGAGATCCATTTGAAGTGTTTTTCAAAAAATTCAAAATGGTGGATAATCTATATAAGCGGAAGTTATGGGTTCTTGAGGCAAATGTGTTCCTCATGAGGAGAGGCATCTCTGTGCAAAGTTTCATGTCTCTACGACATATGGGGCATGAGATATGCCCATTCAAAGTTTGACATTTCAATTTGTTGCTATAGCGCCCCCCTTTGGCCAATTGATGTAATATTGCTTCATTGGCATCCTCCCATGACCCTCTACCACTGTGCCAAATTTCACATGGATTGACCAAGTCAGTGAGGAGAAAAACGTGGAACACACACACAAACACACAGAGTTTTCGTCATTATATAGTAAGGTGTAATCTGAAGTCATATCCCGTCACAGTAAAATACCTCTACCTCTTGGCTTGGTCGCAGCTGTGTCGTCAGGCCTGGTTCGTTCCTCTCTGCCTCCACCTCTATGACGGAGGATGCAAGCGTGCTGCTGCTGCCGGCTGAGCCCAGACTGTCCGTCTGGCACAGCTCGCCCTCACTGCCCGCCTGCTGCAAAACACAACCAAAAAAGGTCACTTTTGTGTTTATGTCATCGTGTCCGACCTGGTTAACTTCTTCAATCCTGTCCATTTTTTATTGTGAGCTCCTGGTGTATCACTGAAAAACTCTATGTCTTAAACAATCGCATTTTTAACATGTCAGTGAAGTTACATTTTCCATCATGAATGATATACAACAGATTTCCTTTATTAAATTATCTCAATTTGTAACATGTCTCACTCAACATCCTGTTGATGACGGGAATGCATCACAGTGCCTGCACCAGCTGCAGGAGAGACGCCATCTATTGCATTTACTTTTATTGGTTAGTTTTTCTTCCTGTTTTCATCTTTATTTCTCATTATCTTGTCTTTGTTTTTGTGTCTTATCTCATGTTTAATTCTCAAAGCACTTGGTAAACTCTGTTTTTCAATAAAGTTATCATAAACTTAAAATTCACATCATCTGTAAAAAAAGCTTCCTCCTCTATAACAAAACCACCTCAGTCTGTGACGACAGCTGGTGGTAATCCACTCAAATGAATGTGACAGGACTTTTGTTAAAACTCAGTGTAGCATGAAAAACTTCCTTACCTTCAGAGCTGCAGGATTCCGGGGGCGGTGGGAGACAGTTGATGGACGGTGAAGAGAAGAAGCGGGGTGTGACAATGGAGAGACAGATGGGAGCAGAGAGACAGATGTTATCAAGACGTTGCAACTGTTTGACAGACACTTAGCCACTTGGAACCCAAACTAAGAAAAGTGAAGACGTCTCTGATGTCTTGTTTTAACAGGTCAGCAGTTGTTATGGTAGATTGAACCTGCTGGGCTGCAGGCCAGCTCTGCAAAGCTGTGCAAATATTAAACTCTGAGCTCACACTGCCGGGAACATCATTATAAATCAGAACGTCCAGACATGCCCTACAGAGCTGAGAGGCTCAACTCTTCTGTAATAATACCAGCAAATTTGATTTAATAACGCAACCTTCGAAACCCAACCCCCTAACCCTGACCACCCATCTTCCGCTCCTTAACCTGTTTTAACCTGCATGTCTTTGGACTGTGGGAGGAAGCTGGAGCACCTGGAGGAAACCCACGCTGACACGGGAGAACATACAAACTCCACACAGAGAAGCTCCATCACCCTTGGATCGAACCAGGAACCCTCTTGCCTGGGTGACTGGAGCAGTGTTGATAAATAATAAATTTCCAGTTGCTCCACATGTTCAGCGCCCCACTAAACCAGATACTTTCATGTTTTATGGGCCTCTTTTAAAGGGGAACTACTGTTTTTTTTTCAACCTGGGCCCTATTTTCCAATCTACTTTTGTCTAAATGAGTGATAGGATGTTCAATATGTGACATGTCTCCAGTATGAAGCTAGGGCTGACCTGCCTGCAGCCCGTGAGCGCGCGCTATATTAAATAATAGGGCACTCAGACAGCGTCAAACAACGTCAAAATACGTCCACTAAAAGTGCATTTTTTTCACACAGATAGGCTCGGATTGTTAGTATAATTATCTGACAACATAACGGAAAGGAGAAATGAACGTCTGTGTTTACCTTTAGCTGGATTCAGACATGTTCCTCTGCCTGTTGCTGCTCCCTCTCTCTCCTCGTCCGCTCTTCAGTTTCAATGAGCTCTGCGTCCGTGTACGTCCGTGTACTCCGTGTTCAAATAAATACGGGCGGTCATCAAATTCAAATGGCTCATCCAGATCCAGTTGGTCAAAATCGGGTAAAAATTCAGCCATGACTACTCCAAACAGAGTAACTCCTCGCGTTTGTAAGGTCACTCCAGCGGTAACTTCCTGCAACAACTCAAATCTCGCGAGACGTGAGATTTCAGAGCCAGACTTTCACTCTCTGAGTGAGTGTTTTGACTTGCCACAACAAACATGTCCGAATTTTTACCCGATTTTGACCAACTGGATCTGGATGAGCCATTTGAATTTGATGAGCGCCCGTATTTATTTGAACACGGATGTACACGGATGCAGAGCTCATTGAAACTGAAGAGCGGACGAGGAGAGAGAGGGAGCAGCAACAGGCAGAGGAACATGTCTGAATCCAGCTAAAGGTAAACACAGACATTCATTTCTCCTTTCCGTTGTGTTGTCAGATAATTATACTAACAATCTGAGCCCATCTGTGAGAAAAATGCACTTTTAGTGGACGTATTTTGACGTTGTTTGACGCTGTCTGAGTGCCCTATTATTTAATATAGCGCGCGCTCACGGGCTGCAGGCAGGTCAGCCCTAGCTTCATACTGGAGACATGTCACATATTGAACATCCTATCACTCATTTAGACAAAAGTAGATCGGAAAATAGGGCCCAGGTTGAAAAATCATTAGTTCCCCTTTAACCCCTATCGGACCCTATACGAGGAAATTTCTTTTCATACTGCCAGTCCCTGAGAGCCCGTGCCCCTCCAAGCGCTCTTTTCGGAGCACTGCATTTTGATCCTAACCCCAACCCTGACCTGGCAATTTGTTACTTTACTTTTACACATTGTTGTGCACAGCTTTGTCACATTCACTGCATAAAACAAACACCTACAATTCTTAGAACAATGCACCATCTTAAATTTCACACTCAGGGTGTCAGTTTCTAACTTTTTATTAAAGTTTACTGAATGTAATCTTTTAAAAAGTGTCTTTAGGGGGCGATCTCGTTAATATACTCCAATATTTATGACCTTCATCAGGGCTCCTCTGCTACTCTTAAAACTGTCTGGGAGACAGATTTAGGAGTGACAATCCTAGATGGGGAGTGGGTGGAAATCTTGAGGAGAGTGCATAAGTCTTCAATTTGTGCTAGACACAGCTTTATGCAACGTCGGATCTTACATCGAGCTCACTACACCAAAGCTCGGCTTGCAAAAATGTTTGATACAGTGTCTCCTTTGTGTGACCGATGCCAACAGGCCACTGCAAGTTACATACACATGTTTTGGAGCTGCCCCTCATTGAAAAGATTTTGGTTTGAAATTTTTCTTACATTGTCCAGGGTAATTGGAAGAGATATCGCCCCTAATGCTCTGACCGCTCTGTTTGGTGTGTGTCCTTCGCAATCTGTTCTTTCTCCTGCTAAAAAAGATTTAATTGCATTTACAACCCTGCTGGCCAGGAGGTTAATTCTGTTGAAATGGAAATCCACAGTCCCACCCACCTATACGACCTGGATCAAAGAGGTGCTTTATTTTCTCAAGCTGGAGAAAATCAGACTGACCCTGTCTGGTAGAACTGATTCATTTGATGGGACTTGGAACTCTTTTTTTGTCTTATGTGAACAGCACAGAATGTTAGATCTCTTTGGACTGAAATGGGAATTACAACAGTGTATCTTGCATGAGAGGTTCATTCATTTTTTATTTATTTATTTTTTATTTTTTATTTTTTTTCTTGCTATGTAACTTTCCAGCTTCTGTTTTTCTTGAGCTTCAACAGGGTAGGTGCCAGGGGTGGCGGGTAGGGGGAGAGGGATGTTGAGTCTCGTTGTATGGCTCTGTTAAACTGACAACTGTAACACAGAACTTGTGAACCACTGTATTTTTATGTGGAAAAATCAATAAACAGATTGTTAAAAAAAAAAAAGTGTCTTTAGCAGTTCTCTACGTCTCGGCAGTGGTGAGCGCAGTGTGGATCTTTATGCACTTCCTGCACTTTGATACCAAAGATTTTGCGTCAGGAACAACAGCTCTACCTGACATGTCAAAAAAGTGAAAACAATCTTGCTATTTAAGTGATGTGTGTATTTGTATTTGGAAAAAAAAAAGAATCAGTTTTTGATAACAGTTGCATCGTTGGTGTGAACATGTGTCTGAAGGTTACTGTGAAACATTCTCACCGTTGGGATGAAATGCTGCTTCAATGTCTTTTGCCGGAGCTGGAAAAGAAACAAAGGTTTTAATCAGGAATACTGGCTCAGCATTATGGCAGTAAATTACTCATAATAATGCATCATCCTGCTATATTAATGAATGCTCTCTTTATTTCACCTTACCAACATCGGTCATAAAAACAAGACACGTTTACTGTCATATAAGTTGGTATGTTTTTGTAATGACAAACTTTCTGGCAGGGTGTGAGAAGCTTTTAAGAAATGATGTTAATCTAAAAGGCAGCTGTACCTGTAATATAGTTGAGACTGCCAGTTGTTGTAAAACAGTACCTCATTTGTTTAAAGTTCTTCTCACTTACTGGCAGTGTTGGAAGCATTCACATCCTTTACTTTAATAAAAGTACTAATTCCACACTGTGAAAATACTCTACTGTAAGTAAAAGTCCTGCATTCACCTTACAGAAGTTAAGTATCAGCACAATGTAATAATAATAATAATAATAATAATAATAATAATAATGATAATAATAAATTTTATTTCTGGGCGCCTTTCATGACACTCAAGGTCGCCTTACAGAGTAAAATACAGTACAAGATAATTCAACATTTTACAATTCAACAAACAAACAAATATCAGTTTAAAAAGCAAACAAAACAAACATAAACAAAACATCTGTTCAGGCTTACCCACTCAAAGAGAGCAGGAAAGCCTGAACAGGTGAGTTTTCAGCCTGGAGTTAAAGTGTGGTAGCGAATCAATATTTCGGAGGTCAGGGGGGAGCAGAGTGGCTGAATGCTCTGCCTCCATGGTAGTGAGGCGAACGGAGGGGACAGTGAGGTGAACAGAAGAAGAGGACCTGAGGGTGCGAGCAGGTATGGTGATAGGAAGGAGGGCAGAGAGGTACAGAGGGGCGAGGCTGTGGATGGCCTTGTAGCTCAGAAGTATAATCTTATAGTGGATGCGGTAGGTGATGGGGAGCCAATGGAGCTGCTGTAAGATGGGTGTGATATGACGGGTGGATAGGGTCCTAGTGATAATACAGGCAGCAGAATTCTGAACCATCTGCAGTTTATGGAGGATTTTCAGGGGGAGACCAAACAGGAGGGAGTTGCAGTAGTCAAGCCGGGAAGTGACAAGACTGTGAACCAGTATGGCAGCAGTGTGAGGTGTGAGGGAGGGGCGGAGGCGGTCGATGTTGCAGAGATGAAAGTAGGCTGACCGGGTTGTTAATGTGGGATGAGAAGGAAAGCGTGCTGTCGAGGATGACACCCAGACTCTTTACCTGAGGGGAGGGGAGGATGGAAGAATTGTCGATCAATATGGTGAAACTGTGGGCTTTGGCTAGAGTGGATTCAGTGCCGATTAGTAACATTTCTGTTTTATCACTGTTTAACTTGGAGAAATTCCATGTGAACTTTATTTCATGAAGGCAGTCAGTAAGGAATGAGGGAGGGAGGGAGGAATCAGGTTTGGAGGAGATGTAGAGCTGGGTGTCATCCGCGTAGCAATGGAAATTAATGTGGTTTTTTTACGGAAAATGTGACCAAGTGGGACTAAGTAGATGATGAATAGCAGGGGCCCCAGGACAGAGCCCTGGGGCACACCTGTGGAGACTGGGAGGGGGCGCTAGGTAAATTACTTTGAGTAAAAGTATATATGTTGCAGTAAAGTGTTTTCCTGTTCCATCTGAAGTCTTTGGATTAATATTCCTGCTGCATTATGTTGCATTGTATTGAAGTTGAGCTCATTTTAAATCCTTCATACACGGCTGGGTAGTTTAATCTACAGCGATGCATCGTATTCTATCAGATCATCATATGTTTGTAGTGTCACTGTCCTGTGAGAACCACAGTACCGGCTGAGCAGCTAACCTCCAGTTTAGCCCTCAGCTAACATGAATGAGGATAAATTATTTATAAATTATTTGTCCTGCGTTTCCCCCTGACGCCGCTGGGTGCAGTTAAACTATAACGGCAACTGGTGGCGTGTCATGCCAATGTGAAAGGACAGCTTTTTTTCATCAGTGTCTGACACTGAAAGTCACGGACCAAGTGCCGGATTTCGACAACTTTGGAGTAAGACTGGGTTGAATCAACACATCTGGAGACTTATGGTTTTTACTGGACAGGAAGGGGATGAAAAACTGTAATCTGAAAAGCTGTCAGACAAATGTAGTGCAGTAAAAAGTACAATACTGATAGGAGAAAAGTATCTCAGTACAGTACTTCATTAAATGTACATAGTTACTCCACCGCTGCTTATTAGAAGGAAAAAATTATGTCATCTACTTTTTATCTAAACATCTGGATATGACAGAAGAATAAAAAGTCTTTTGTGTGGGTTGTGTGGACCCTGAGCACTGACTGAAGGCCCTGTATGTGGACTTGTCCTCTGAGTGCTTTGAAGGAACTGTCTCTGTCTACCTGACTGTCTCCTGGTGCGTCTGTACGGCAGGTTTCCCTCCAGCAGCAGCGGCAGACTCTTCCTGGACTTCTCAGGCGTGTACATCAGCAGCTCTGGAGGCTCTGGAGGGACAAACAGAGCAAAGAGACCCTCAGTCATTTTACAAGACCTGCTGAGGAACTGGAATGAAGTGAATCTCTGGTTCTAGTGCACACACATGTAGCTCTGAACAGTTCTCACAAGGCCAACGAGCAATGACTGTAACCATGACGACATTTTGTTGAAACCTTGTTAATGCTTTCCTAAGTTATGGCACATTAAGTGTAAATCACAAACACTTTATTTCATATTAAAATTAAAGAGTGTTATTATATAATTTTCTTCCTGTCAACAGACAACGTGTTAGTCCGTCTCTTAATTCTTTCTTACTTTCTGTCTGTGGCTCTCAGCTCCAAGCACATTGCTTCCTACTGAAAATGAAAATATTTATAACCACAAATATGCAGTTTCATCAGTTGTCTCCTCAAACAGCTGCTCACTGTGGTTTTTATCAGACAAATGGAAGGAATAGTGTATTTTTTGGGGACTATTTTCAGCGGTGTATTCATGCACATTTGGTGCTGCAGAGAGTATTTGTGGCAGCAGGACGGTGTGTGTGGAGTTGAGTCAAAATAAACTACAGCGTGTGTGTTCATGGTGATTAAAGACAGTGGGTCTCATTCATGAAAAGTGAGTAAATCTGTGTGTAGATTTGCACATAAAATCTTACTCTACTAAAAACCTACTCCGGATTCAGGAACGTTGCGGGAAACTCAGATTTTATCGTAAACACGTGTGTATGATCATGAATGCCAATCCATCGTAAAGTGACAGCGCGTTCCCAGTAATCAGCAATTAGCATAAATCCCCGCCCATGAATAGCCAATGACCACCATATAAGGAGGTGTAGGTGCATCCTGTCGACCTGTCAGTCATGGCGCAAAGAAAGAAAGAGAGAGAAAGAAAAAAGAAATTTTCCGAAGCTGAGATCGAAATAATTTTGGGTGAAGTGGACTTAAGAAAAAACATTTTATTTTCTTCAGTTAGTAGTGGTGTGACAGGGACAGGCAAAGCAAAGGCCTGGAGGGAGGTAACAGATGCTGTTAATGTTGTCTCCGTGGTACAAAGAACCATGTCAGAGGTGAAGCGTAAATGGTTTGATATGAAACTGGAGGCAAAGAAACGCATAAGCACACACACAAAAAATACAGCGGCCACAGGAGGAGGAGGCTCACAGTCACAACTATCTGCTGCAGACGAGCGCATCGCTGGCATAACTGGGGAGACCTCTCTGTCAGGAATTATTCCTGACGGAGACAGCGACAAGCCTCCACTGGAGTCAACATCAAACCCAGACTGTAATGTGCTATAGCCTAATACATTCTGAAAACCATCATTGATAGCGTAGTGGTCACCAAACAAACAGAGGATTCATTTTTGGGTTTTGAATGAAGTGGGAACGGGAAGCCAGAGATGTTTTGTGCATAATGGGTAAACTCTAAATCAGTGATGGCTGTCGGAATGTAGAGCTATTTAACATTTATTTTAACAAATGACACGATAACATATAGCCTACAGCAGTTTGTATGCATCATCTTCAAATTATTTGAATCTTAATAGCCTAAAGCTCTGTTTCATACAACGTAAATTAAACATTTTTCAAATCAGATTTATTCATTCAAATGATTAAAAAAACAAACAAAAAAAAAAACGTGTTGTCTCAAATAATTCTTTCAGCTGGCGCGTTCTCCTTCGTGGCTCCACCACCTGCTGCTCCTGCTGCTCCTGCTGAACCCAAGCACCGTGGCCAAAGAGGCTGTGATCCGGCTGTCCTTACGGATATTTTTATTATCATCATTCAACATGCAGAAAGAACGTGTAATCTACTGAGTCGATTTACATAGATAATTCACAATTATGAACCTAATCTGGATCTTAAACCTGCTAATTGCCAACTAATTTAACTAAATGTGTTATATTTTTAATATTTTGTCATGTTTAGATTACGTGTTTCAAAGGCATTGTGTACATAACAAGAGAGCAGTACGAGTTAAAATTGTAATTTCCAATAGTGACAAGCAATATTTATGTGCTTTACTAAATTTACACAAGCACTACGAGTGGTCAGGAGCAGGAGTAGATTTTGTTAGTAGCTACGAAAAGATCGGAGCTACTAAAATATTGATGAATGCGGACATGCACGTAAATTTCCATCTGCAAACAGTTTACACACAAATTCCTTCTGCTCACGTTTCATGAATGAGACCCAATGTCACCCAGGGCCACAGTGTGGCTCACTGATGGGTTTAAACAACAGATGAGGAAGACGATATGTCAAGCTGTGAATACACACACTACTACTTGGTAGAATCATTCACTGTTGGTTTCACTCTGTGTGATGAAAATACAGAATATTCCCTGGAGATACAGTAAAAACTTTAATCATGTATGACGTGTTTTTTGTTGTTATTGGGAACAAAAAGAAGACTAACCCTGACCTGACTGACGTCTGCCTCTGTGATAGCCGTGGATATCGTCCAGTCGCGGCGATGCGGAGGACTTCTTCAGGTTGTCCTGGTCAAACTGAGGAGCTGAAATACAGGAAGTGATGTTACGACATCTACACATGCCAGACCCAGCTATTCAGAGCTGATGAATGTATTCATGCATCAGTGGTGAATATTCTCATGAAAAGAGCCGGAAAGAGAAACGATCCATCGCACCAAAGTGAGTAGTGAGTGTGTGTGAGAACTCACATTGACAGAAGTTGTCTCCCAGGACCTGCCTCGCCTGGAAAGAATGATAATCAGCTCAGTGAGGCATTGAGACAGAAACACTTTGGGATAAAACGTAAGGAGGAAGTGATAAAAGACAGGATAAATGCCTCACTCTGTGAGTTGGACTTCTGCTGAAAAATAACAAAGATAAGAGGAACGATGCTTTCCAACAGTCAGTGTCTGTTTACAGTCACACTCTGTTTGACAAAGTCATACTTCCAAGTACTAAATCATCTACACCCATTTACTTTAACAGACTGGAGTCTGTCATAGTGCATGCATGACAAAAAACAAAATGACAGGGCAGCTGAAGGGCTCAGTTCAGGGGGGCATTCATTAGCACTTTGTTTACGGCTGTAGAGGCTGATATAAATGAACAGTTAAATCAGCAGGAGGGGCTGGTGGTCAGGGTTCTCAGTGAACCACATGTTTCTGGTAATTCTTCACATACAGACTGAATCACTTCAGGGCAGCAGTGGCTCAGTCTGTAGAGACTTGGCTTGGGAACTGGGCAGCTGCTGGTTCAAGTTCCCATGCCGACCAAGTATGCAGTGTGGACTGGCAGCTGGGAAGGTGCCAATTGCTTCCTGGGCATTACTTTGGTGCTCTTGAGCAAAGTACTGAACCCCCAAACAGATGCTGCACAATGGCCGACCCTGTGGCCCTTCCTCAATTAATGCATGTATGAAAAGACAACAGTCGACTGACAAATAAGAATAGAGAGAAAATGAGAATTAGCACCTTAATCACGATATCACTTTTGTGTTTTGTCATAATTAAGGCCAAAAATATGTTTTGTGAGGCCACACTGACCTTTGACCTTTGACTAGGGATGCATGATATTGGATCTTTTGCCAATATCCGATATGCCGATATGTAACAACTAGGGCTATCAAAATAACACATTAATTAATCACACAAAAAGCTTGCGTTAACAATATTAATGCTGATTAATCTGTCCGCGGTGCCCTTTGACCCGGTGTGTCACTGAAGACCACAGTGTCTTTGTCACATGATGGAGGCAGATGAGACGACACTGCTCGGCCCCGTGAATGGAACATTTACATTTAAAAAACACCCAGATGGAGCTGTTGATAGGAGCACTGTTCTCTGCAGGTTCTGCAGGAAGGAGAACTTCAGTCTGAAACGTCACCTCAACACAACGACTTTAGCAGTGAACCCAGAGGTCTGAGCTAGCACAGCCTCTGATGCTAACGCTAGCAGCCAGCCTCATCACGCCACACTTGACCAGGTGTTTAAACTGAGTCAGTCTACCTGTGACCGACTCACTGACTCCCTCACAGAATGGACTGCAGACCAGTTTGAGTGGTCGAGGACAGGGGGACAACTGTGTCCAACATCCAGCAGCATCACTACGACACATCTGACAACATTCATTTGAACTGAATTTTTTTAAAAACACTTTTTAATCACTTGACAGTGCTAATAACAACTCATTTGACCGATAATCGATATTGATATATCCACTTTTTTTTCCCCGCCTAGTTTTGGTGATCACCAAGTCTCTTCTTTAGTGGAATTAACATCATATTATCAGTGGTGTGCAGTCAGGGGCAACAAGGCTAGCACTGCTAGCCCTGTCAAAAGTGTTTTTTTTCTGTTTTTTCCATAATTAAAAGGTCATTCTGAAATGTATCTGGAGTCAATTACTTGTTCAGTATGCAACTTTATCCAGAAAACGAATGGTTATATTTTGTGGAGCTCAAATCTCCTATGTCCTATAAACGCATCACAGCTCCTTTCCTTTGCTGGGGCCAGCAGTAGTTGCATTGCTAGCCTCTGATCGAGCTGGATGCTGCTATTGGGTGCGTAACGTTGAGTGACCGTATCATCAGCCAATCAAATTTTGATGTGTTATTGACAGAACGCCTTAAGACCAGCAGAGTTTCTAGTGCTGGCCTGGGCATCGTCATTCAAATGAGCTTGGCTGATTGGCCCATGGGCAGGTGCGTGATGACGCACTGTCTGTTGGTGGTTGATTTAACAGCAAGATCGATAGATATGATTGCGGACCTGCTTCGGGTGCCTTTTTTTTAATCAGTTTATTCAAAGTGGACATTTTTGCCAAATTTGAGAAAATCCCCTCAAGGTTTTCTTGAGATGTCACATTAACAAAATGAGACCGACCCAAGGTCACAGTGACCTTTCACCACCGAAATCTAATCAGTTCACTGCTGCGTCAAAGTTCATGTTTGTGCCAGTGCTAAAGAAATTACCTCCAGGTGTTTCACACAAGAATGAGACAGATATGGTCCCAATGACCAAGACTTTCTTGAGATACTGGATTCATGAGACAGGGACAGGTGATTGGACAGATGGACAAATAACCCAAAAACATATTGCCTCTGGATACGGCTGTCTCAGGCGCAGAGGCAAAAAAAGAAAATTCACGTTTTACAGAAACAGAAGAAAAAGTTGTGGTTTCTCAGTCTGTGTTTTATGTTTTCTACAGTAGTTCTGTCTGGTGTGTTAATTATCCTTCTTGTGTTTCTGCTCATCAGTTTGGTGCCATAATGGTTCAAAGACACGAGGAGCAAAATTTATTCTTCAGAGAAACATCAAGGAGAAAGTCAACTTTCACTCATGTGTCCAAGAGTGAAAAATATTCTGACACAAAAGTAAGTTTTGCTTTTTATATTTTACTGTATTGTTTCATTAGTGAACCACCGATTTATAGTTTTGGGTGAGTTTGGTGTCAGAGCTGTTTGGCTCCTCTATATTGAGATTTACAGCAAAATCAGCCTCAAGAAATATTTTGTTATTATTTATGTATTGAGGTTTTGATGTTTGTGCCACAGAACACAAAGCAGCTGCAGGTCTTCACTCTGACGGCTTTAAAAGTGTGATAGAGAGTTTGTGTGTTTGACCAGCAGGTGGCAGCAAAGACCACCAGAACCGTTGTGGTGTCCCTGTCCAGTGTTCTTCTACTTTCACATCTGCCAGTGGTTTTACTTCAACCAGAACTACGACTGATAGAAGTGATTGAGTTACTGCACTGATACAGGTAATACTACAGGTAATACTAAAGGTAATACTACAGGTAATACTAAAGGTAATACTACAGGTAATACTACAGGTAATACTAAAGGTAATGTCGCTCCTGTTTTTTGCTTCTGCTGTTGGAAACACTTCAGGAACACTATTGCCCCCTGTACAACTACTACTCCCTCCTTCCCTTCCTCCCGCCTTCTCTTCTGTCCTTCATCCTACATCCTTAAACTTCTTCCTCCCCTTCTACTTTCCCTCCTTCTCTTTCCTTCTCCCCTCTCCTTCCCTTCCCTTCCTTCCTCCCTTCTTACTTTCCCTCTGCCGTCCTCCCCTTTCATCCTTTTTTCTTTCACTTTTCCCTCCTTTCCTTCCACCCTTCCTCCCTCCTTATCTTCCATCCTCCTCTTCTCACTTTACTTCCTCCATCCTCTCTCCTTCTCTTTCCTCCTCCCTTCTTCCATTTCTTTCTCCATCCATTCCTCCCCCCCTCCCCCCTCCTTAGTTAACTTCGCCCCTCCCTTCTTACCTTCACTGCTCTCTCCTTCCCTTCCTTCCTCCCTTCTCACCTCCCCTCCTCTGCCCTCCCTCCTTCCCTTTCTTCCTGCATTCTTTCCGTCCCTCCTTCCCTTCCTCTAACCCTCCTTCCCATCCACCTTTCCTTTCTCCATAACTTCCTCCTCCCTCTTTTCCTTTCCTCCTTTCTCCTTCCCTCTCCCCTCCTTATCTTCCTTTTCCCATCATCCCCTTCCTTCCTCTCCCTTCTCCTCCCTCCTCCCTCCTCCCTCTTTACCTTCTGTGGGAGAGAAGTAGGATGATTCTCTACGATCAGTCTCTTGAGGTAGTGCACCCACAGCCTCTTCTCCTCCTGGTTCTTTGTCTGCAGTAACAGGAACAACAGTTTATAAGATGTTTAATGTCTCTGTCACAGACTGAGCCTCAGCCGTGACCTCAGACGGATCACAGCTGGACTGAAATGTTGAGAATGTTGAGTGTTCAGTCCAACACTCACCTGGACGATGTGCTGCTGTTTGGGAATCGTCTGATCCGACACTTTGAAGCACAAAGAATCCTTCAGATTCTCCACCAGCAGCAGATTACAACACTGCAGCAGAGAGACAGAAAGACAGAGCAGGACGTTTTAAACACTGAAAGGTTTTGCACCAAAGCTGCAGCTACATTGTTAGAGTTGAGCAGCAGGTTTAGTAGTTGAGTTTAAAGCCGGATGTCCTGAACAATAAATAAAAACCATGGTGACACACTCACAAATATATGGGTGCTGTAGACGAACTGCTCCAGCCTCTTCTTGGCGATCAGCAGCATCTTATCAAACAGGAAGAACGCCCTCTCCTTCTTCACTCTGTGGACCTTGAAGGAACCTTCTAGAACCAGCTCTCCAAACCCGCTGAGGTCTGGCCCGCTCCAGTTCACCAGGAGGGACTCAATCTCCTGTGAGGAGGAGGAAAAACGTCACATCATGTTATAAAGGTCAACAGAAAGAATCTTCCTGAACTGGTTGTTTAGTCTCCATTTAGACGCTGTCATTTTAAACTTGACACTATACGTTTTCTGAGGAGGGAAGAAGGAACGTCATTGGAGGCTGGTTGTAGTGATGCAGCTTTAGAAATGACATGGTTTTTCATTGAGGCGTCCTCAGTGCGCATGTGCAGAAACAAGAAAAAAAACCTCCTGTTTAAAAAAGAGTTTGTTGCCTTAAAATAACATCACGTGTAAAAATGACCACATTAACTTCTTGACAGGAAAAAACACTGAGTCACAAACAGGAAGGATTTTATTTTTGTGAAAAATAAAACAATCTCTTTAAACCATGTGAACTCTCCTCCATCTGAGCTGGTGTGGCCGTTTCACCTCCGGTCCCAGCTGCTGAGAGGTCAAAAGTCAACACCTGTGCACTTCCTGCTGCGTCAACCTTCAGAGGTTGAACTTATGAAACGCAGGTCAGGACTGCTAAACTATTCCTAAACACACGACCTGGATGTCTGTGTTTCTAGAAAACAGTGAGCTCCTCTGCAGAGCCACAGGCAGTCATCCAGCTGTGGAGACGACTTTTGACCTCACACAACCAGCTGGAGAAGAGAGTGGGAGGGATGTAGAGATGTAAATGAAGCTATCACAGATTGAGACTAAAGAGGCAAACAAGTTGTTGTTGATGACGCTGGCATGATTGTTTTACTCCTGTTGGCTGTGTAGGTCCAAAGACCAAAATTCAAACTGCACTGAAGCTAAAGCGCTTTCATGAAGGCCTGTCCGAAATAAAAACCTTCATTTGAATTTCAAAACAACAACATATGGTGAAGGCTTGTATTAGGCTGGTACTCAGTAGTAAAGAGTGCCTTTACCTGCAGGGTGCAAAGCTAGTGGTGACAATATCGTCCGTAAAACTGATTCAGAACGCCACAGGAAAAATATGGAGTACGAAGAGCGAACGCCACCGCCAGAGGAACTTTCATCATCTTCAAATAATCCAAATTCAGCTGCTACTGTGCTGGCTGTCCCAGACGAAAGATGACCAATGATAAAGAAACGTGGCAATATCTTTGGTCTTTGGCTCTAAAACTGTGGTTCTTCGTCACACAGTGAGAGGTTCAAAGATGGCTGTTGTCACAGTCTTGTGATCAAAGACAGCCTGGGATGAAATTCTAACTGTCAGTAATTTGGGATGTTACCATCTACGTCTATTGACCAACCAATAGAAATGCAGCATGAAATGACGCACTGATCAGCACTAAACCCAAACAAACAGATGGATAGCAGCTCGCCATGGAGGCTAAACATGATCTCGCCCTCACCATAGCAGAGTGTTTTTTGTTCCTAAACCTAACCACACATTAACCACAGTGCTGGTAAAACTTTCAATGTATCTGCTATAATATGTAAATGTAATGTATCCATGGTTTGTAGAAACACCAATTTACATCTCCCAACATGGCACTGAGATGTGGGGCGGCCGGGGCTCAGAAGGTAGAGCAGGTCGTCTATGCTCCTCCAGTCAGCATGTGGAAGTGTCCTTGAGCAAGATATCCATCCATCCATCCATCATCCATCCATCTTCGTCCGCACCCCAGACGTCCCTCTCCCCAGCAACACTTTCCAGCTCCTCCTGGAGGACCCCAAGGCGTTCCCAGGCCAGATGAGATATGTAATCCCTCCAGTGTGTTCTGGGTCTGCCCCGGGGCCTCCTACCAGTGGTTAGGGTTAGGGTTAGGAGCTCGGGCTTCCCTCCGGAAGCCCGAGCTCCTAACCCTATCCCTAAGGCTGAGCCCAGCCACTAGGGTTGGGTTGGTTCTTGGTAATACCAATTCGGTCTGGTACTCCGTCTTGGACCGGGTTTTATTTTTTGAGACCGACCAGACCACATACTCGGGCGGAGCGGACGTCGCGGAGGTCCGCCCGGTAAAAGTGGACATCCACAAGCCCTGTGCGCGCAAAGCACGACTGCGCGGACTCCGCTCCGCGCACCAGTGTCACACAAAAGACTGTTCGGCATGTATTTTTCACATCGCAGGGATTTTTCACGGACATTTTTACACGGAGTCCGCTCCGCTTATAGTACGCCTGAGTCTGTGAGCACCTGTGTCTGCCTCTTCACCAAGCGCACAGCAAGCAGGAGAGAGAGGGGGGCGGGGACTGAGCTAGGAAGTGCAAGTGCACATGCGCCTCTACTGTAGCCTGGAGTTTGTTTAATAGTGACAGGGAGTTGATAATGGCGGACAATTTAGTCTCGACGAAATCAAGGAATGCGCCACTATGGCAGCACTTTGGCTTTGAGCCAGACGAAGGAGGCAACCCTTGTTTGCACTGATTGAGTAAGCTGCAAAATTTATTTGTAAGGAATAAAAGAAACAACTTGTTACTGTCACTCTGTTGTCCTAAGGTCGCTTTTTATTTTAAATGAGTCAGTTGCACCCCCCAGTGGTGAAAATCCGGTATTACCGACTTGATGTGGTTTTTTACAAAAACCGGACCGTTTTTTTTTCTCATACTGACCCAACCCTACCAGCCACCCCACGGAGGAAACTCTTTTCCACCACTTGTATCCGCGATCTCATTCTTTCGGTCACTACCCAGAGCTCATGACCATAGTTGAGGGTTGGGACGTAGATGGACCAGTAAATTGAAAGCTTTGCCTTCTGGCTCAGCTCCCTCTTCACCACGATGGACCGGTGCAGCGCCCTCATCACTGCAGAAGCCGCACCAACCTGCCGATCCATCTCACGCTCCATTCTACCCTCACTCGTGAACAAGACCCCAAGATACTTGAACTTCCTCACCTGGGGCAGTAACTCTCCCCCAACCCGGAGAGGGCAAACCACCGGTTGCCGACAGAGGACCATGGCCTCAGACTTGGAGGTGCTGACTCTCATCCCTACTGCTTCACACTCGGCTGCAAAACGCTCCAGTGCATGTTAGAGGTCACGGTGTGATGGAGCCAACAGAATCACATCATATGCAAAAAGCAGGGACGCAATTCTGAGGTCCCCAAACCGGTTTTGAGCAAGATATTGAACCCTAAATTGCTCCCGATAGCTGCTCCATTGGTGTGTGAGTGTGTTTAACCTGAGTAGCAGGTGGCACCTTGTATGGCAGCCTCATCCACCAGTGTGTGAATGTGTGTGTGAATGGGTGAATGTGTGCAAAAAGTGCTTTGAGTGTTTGGAAGACTAGAAAGGCACTATACAAGTGCAGGTCCATTAACCATGTATGATGTGGTTTGTATTATATCAACCAACTATTCAACACTGAGCAAATCCCCAAACATCATTCAGATATTTAAGTGATCAGACTGTTGCTTCTCTCTCTGACGCTGGTATCAATGAACACCTGCCATTATTTGTCTTTTCTTCTCCAGACTGATGATACGTTCAACTTTGTCCACATCATTGCAGTCTCTCAAGAGTATCTCACAGACAGTCTTTAAATTAATGCAGGTATAACATGACTCGGGCTTTATATACAGGTCTAAAATTGTGATGTAGTGGTCTAAATCAGATCATAAAGATTTCATTGAGTGACACTGCTTTTTAGAGCTGATATACAGGTCAATTTAAATTTAGGAACCTTTGAATTTAACAGAACTGATCTACATTGAGTCAGACTGAGTAGAAACAGGCAGGAAACAGTGAGAGAAAAACCTGAAAAGCTAAATTAGAAGGCAAAACTGTCAAAGAGGCTACAGAGGACCAAAGCAAGGAAACGGCAGAAATGACAGGAGGGGTGTTAAAACGAAGCCAACACACACACACACACACACACACACACACACACACACACACACAGTGAAAACATCCACATGTGATGGAACAGGTTAATAACATGTTCCCGTGTGTGTCATGATGTGAACACATGTCGGGGGAAGTTGTGGAATGCAGCAGTTGTAGAGTTTGACACCTAAAGGTCAACCAGCTGACCTCCAGCCGCCCGTCTGTCTCTTTACAGGCCTGAGGAGGAAAAGCTGGCTGCAGGCTCAGAGACGAAATGTTGGCCTGTTAGCTGCTCGAGTGCGAACTCTGTGTCAGGAAGCAGGAAAATCCGCTTGGCCTTTTTGTTCCAACACTGTGCAGGTCAGGGCTTTCTATTATTATTACAAGGTTTCACAGTCTAGAAGATGTTGGAAAGATTTGTCAACCTCTATGGCGGTTTGAAATCCTTCAGGTCATGACTGTCTCTGTCCTGCCGCCACAAACACTCACTAAAGCACCAATGTGGGTTAATCTGCTGCTGTGAATAGTCCTAAACAAGTTTTTTTGGTGACCTGTCACTGTGTTTCCATCGGGGATAGAGTCACATACAGCGAAACATTTGCATTTCCTGGCAGGTTCCCTGTCATAAAAGCACTTGTCTTTAATGAAATATCGCTGCACTTCCTGCCAGGTCTGCTCTTCTCTAGGAGAGGCTTGATGACTGCAGTTTTCAAAGCATTTGGAGAAGTGCCAGATTGGAGGAAGACATTAACTCTGAGTTAGTTATTTAACCAGGCTGCTCAGTACAGTTTGAAGGAAGCTAGTGGGTAAAACATCAAGGCAGCAAGTGGAAGAACTGAGACGCATGCAGTGATGGTACTTTATTCTTTGGTAGGAGTTAATTGCACATCTGATGTCTTGAACCTTGTTATTAAAAAAACTCATTACATTTGCTGCTGGAAATTAGTTCTGAAGATATTGGAACCGAAGAGTTTAGTTAGTCTGTCTGCAGTAGCACATAACATGCGCAAGTTGTGCTTTGATTTACGCCATTTTTCTTCTCCTATCCAGCACTCTCTTCTCTGAACCCTGAATCCAATCGATCATCAACAAGATATCCGTGGCCGTTTTAAATATGACGGCTTCCATGAATAGTGTTTTGATGTTCTTATTAAAGTATATTATTTCAACATTTGCCGATCCATGGACAATTTTGGGAGTTATTGACAGATCAAGAAATACACAGAAATTATGTGATAGAGCAACATCGTCTGCGTTTGCACTGTAGCACAGCAATATCGCCGCATTCCTTTCAGGATAGTGTCTCAAAAAGTGGTTGTTTTTTACCAAGTCATCGTTGCATTTCCTGCTCGCATCATGCCATGAAAAGCAGTTGGTCTACTGAAGCATCGCCTAAACCCAACCACCCATTTACCACAGCATCGTTGAAATATAATAAACATAAAGTTTTACAATATCCGCTTCATAACAAAGCACAAATGCAACATATCCATGGTTTGCAGAAATGTAGCATGCCATCAGTTTGTCTGGTGACTGGGTTTAATAAAACACAATCTCATTATCAACGAGGACAAAAGAAGTGACTTTGCTTTTTAAAAAACAGTATTATTCATGTCGTTATTCTCTTTATGGACCAGTGACGGCAAAAACTAAACCATAATGTTCATCATTACAGAAGATATCCCTTCATAAAAAGCAAAATGAAGTGGAGGTTCGTGAAAACTTCGGAAGGTGTTCCTCAAGGAACCTTCAGAGGTCCTCTATAATTCTAATCCGAAGAAGTGCTAAACAGCTTCTTCTTTTTTTTTTTTTTATAAAATACATGCTAACTAGATCTAGTATATCTGAGAAATGATACTGGCTATCTATTTTTGGATAAATATAATTTCAGACAGATTTCTTATCTGTTACCAAAGTTCATTTAGTGCAATAAAACTGGAAGTCTGGTGATTTTATGTTTCAATCTCTGGCTCATCATTTTTGCTTAATTTATATTACATATTCTTACATCAGAATAAGTGCTGTATATTAATGTTAACACTGACACATGTAAATGTTATAATATTTTTCCCTTATAAAGGTCAAAGAAGTTGCGTCAGGCTTTACGAATCATACACAGCATATCATCTCTTACCTGCAGTCGTACTGCGTGTTCCTGTTTCCTCTTCATGTCGTTGATGTACCAGGCCACTGCTGTCATGGTGATGATGGCGTCCTCAATGACCTCATATCCAGGGTCACTCTTGTCAAAGTGCTTTGAAAGTTCCTGAGAGGACATTCAGACATGAGACCAATTTGTAAATTTGCCAGAAAAAAAAATTGCAAAGAGTTTATTCCAAACTACAGTGCTCTGCACACAACTGTTTTCAAGTGGTGAATAAAAAGACACATTAAAAAACAGAATAAAACAACATAACCACGCTGACACAGCAGTTCATCACAGAAATGAGTGAAGCAGGACCAGCTGAGGATTATGGGAAAATCCCAGCACAGCTCCAAACACATGTTTGACCGGTGTTTATACTGGCCACTGTAGACAGAGCAACAACTACACACAATGATAAAGACCAAACACGAGAGAACAAAGACCAGGCTTTAACCGTGTGTGTGCGTGTGTGTGTGTGTTGGTTTCTGTCTGTTTCATCATCCCTCTCTCGCTCCTCGCTCCTCTCAGAGGTGGGCTTGGACTGGAACCAGTGAAGAAACTCAACAAGTTTATTGGGAAAAGCTGCTTGTTTATTTCCTTGTGCAAGTGCATGTGTGTTTTGTGTTTTATGGATGAGGCAGTCAGCTGAATACCTTCAGATGTTTGAGTTAAGACATTTGTAAAGGTCGTGACTGATGATTCCAGCGAGAGCTGGAATTTATTAGAGAAATAATTATACATACTATTATCACCAGGCCCAACAAAGAGTCAGGGGGCCTCTAAAGTCCGGGCCCTGCCAAAAGTAGGGAAGTCCCAATCTCTCCCGTTCTTTCTCTCCTGATCCTTTAATTCTGAGTATCAGACAGACAGACAGCTACTTTTTCATCTTCACTGGGTACAGTGTTTATCCAACACACTGCCAAAACAAACTCTCCTTTGTCCTCACTTGCCTGAAGCTTTACATCCCCTTTTAAAAGTCTGGCAGTCTCAGGGCCATCACTCTCTCTGTCTCCTATCAAGTGACCTGGAGAAGATCTGTGTCTCAACTGTGCAACATGTAACAGGAGTCCCATAAAGCTCCGTTCTGGGTCCCCTCTTCTTCTCCGTGCTACGATATCTTAAACTTTCAAAACCAAAGTTACCCTTTTCCACCAGCATGGAACGGCTTCTTTTCAGTTGAAATCCTGCTGCACGGCATCAGCTTGAAACGCTGCTGGTAAAGACGTAATATAGACCCTTTTAGGGCCGACGCCACGATGACGTCATTTTATTAGCTGAAGGCAAAATGCAACTCGCCACCACAGGGCTGTAGGCTACATAGGAGTCAACAGAACTTGCCTGCTAGCGCTAGCTAATGTTAAGCCCCACCCACCAAAAAACACCATACTGTTTACTAGCAGTAAAAGGGTCTGGAAAGTCAATGTAGGGTCCAACAAACCCAAGACTTTCACCCAGCACGCTACTGTGCGCTTCCTGTATGAATGTAGAGCCAAACCTTGATGTGTTTTCTAAACCTCACCACGAGCTTCTGTTAACGTCCCAGCGTTGGCTGTGGTGTCTCAGTATGTCAAAAGCAGACACATGAGGATATCTAACGGGTAACATGTAGACGTGAATATCCACCGACAAAGCTGAGATATGTGAAGACTTGGGATGAGAACATGTTGAACTGGGACAGGGCAATGCCTAATGGGAGTCTTCCATTGGCAGGTGAAGTCTCGGAGTGGACGTCATGGCTTGATCTGGAAACTGGATGATGAACTGTCACTTCACCAAACATGCAGCCGTTCCAGTAGACTCCTGTACAACATCAGGATTATTCACCTCTTCGTCACCAGGGAAGAGGCCCTCAGACCTCTGCAGCTCATCCAGAATGCTGCTGCCTGTCTGGTGTTTAACCTCCACGAGTTTTCCCACAACGGTCCTCTTCTCCGTCAACTATACTGTCTCTCTGTGGCAGCTTCATCCAAATCATGTCTCTGGCACTGGAATACAGGGCAGCAGAGGGAACTGCTTCTTTCTACTTCCAAGTCATTGTCAAACCCTGAACTCTTCCTCTATGTCCAGACGTTTAGCTGTCCCGTCACTGAGAGGACCCTGGGGTCACTCATCTGGGTCAATGCTCCATCTTTCACTACAGGCTTAAAACTCTCTGCTCCAACTTGACATGTCACGCACGTTCTAACCTATTTTATTGCAATAAATGCCGTAAAAACTTAACCATAGCTCTCTGAACACAGCTTTACATTTCATTTTTGGATGGTTGCATTTCCCAATCTTCCAAAATCTAATTCTAGTTTTTATTTTGGGGTTTTTCCACTTAGCGTTCATGGCTTTGGTCAAATATATGTCACTCTACTTAATCATTATTCACACAAAAATCCTGTTCTCGTCAGTGACCCTCATCTGGCATGATGATGTCACAGTCTTGTCCTTGTTTTATTGGCCGTGAGCTCTGATGTCAGTAAAACCGTACAGATGTGAGCTGATGAGGACGTACAACAAAGTCCACATGTGGGACACACACACTTCATCTTTAAAATCAAAGAGGAGACACACTCGGTGTCCTCAGCTGTCCTCTGTCTCCCCTCAGTGTTTCGTACTGAGTGCAGGAAAAACTTTATAACTCTCTAATTTGAGCCAAAAACAATGTTTACTGACAGGAAACAGAGTTGTCGCCTAGAAACCAAAACTTTATGAAGATCCATCAGCTTCTTCTCAACATCTTTAACACACACGACTCCAATCAATCAAGTATCAAATCATAACGATCAGTGGAGTGCTTAAAAAGCTGCGTACATCTTTCCATTAGATTTTTTAGTCCTTTTCATGGACTGCACCAAGTATCTGACGTGTTAAATATTTTATCAGAAGGTATTTAAGTACCTCATGTAGTTCTGGAGGTGGTACCTGCAGGAGTTTGAGGTATTTGAGGTAAACGTAGTATTTGAGGCGTTACCTATAGTAATAGGTGGTTTGTGAGATATTATGTGTAGTATTTGCAGTTGTTGCAGGTGGTAAAGTAAACCATGTGGTATCTACTAAGTCACGTGTGGGTGCTGATAGTATTTGCAGTATGGCATGTAGCGTTTTGTAGTATTGCAGTTAATATGAGGAGTAAACCTGTAGGAGGAGGTGCTATGTGAAGAACCACATGAAGTATTGGAGGTGTTGCCTGAAGTCGCTGGTGGTATTAGAGGTAGGAGAAGGTGCTATTGATGTACTGATTGTGGTGCTTTGGTAGTTCCCTGAATTTACTCACAATGAATTACCTGTATTTGTTGTATTACACAAAGTATGTTATATCTGAGGTTCTACCTGTGGTGACAGAGAGAAGCTTCATATAGTATTTGTGGCTTTATCTGTACTTGTAGTTTTCACTTGAGGTACTGCATGTGGTTTTGGCAGAATTTCAAATACTAGATCTAGTTATTGGTAGTAATGGAGGTGGTTTTTGAAATATCTTTACAATAACTGACATGTATGATTTGGTATTTGGCAAGTATTACCTGTAGTGTCTAGTAGTATCTGAGGTATTTAGTTCAGTATTTAAGTTTTAAGGTGTTACCTGTGGTAGCAGGTGGTCTTAGAGGCACTACATGTAGTATTTGGAATATTACCAGTTAGTATCTGTATTGTTACCTGCAGTAATAGGTGATATTTAAAGTACTAGTTTTATTTGGAGCATCAACTGTAATAGCGAGTGTCATTTGAAGTTCTCAATGTAGTATTCGGACTATCAGTTGTAGTACCAGGTGGTATTTAAAGTACCACATATAGTATTTGGAGTATATCCTGTAGTAGAAGGTGGTTTTTGAGGCACTAAATAAAGTATTTAGAGAATCAACTGTTGTAGTAAATGGTATTCAAAGAACTAAATGTAGCAATTGGAGTATATCCTGTGCTAGCAGGTGGTATTTGAAGTCAAAAATGAAGTATTTCGAGTATCACCTGTAGTAGCAGGTGGTATTTGAAGTACTAAATGTAGCGTCTGGAGTATCACCTGTAGAAGCAGGTGGTGTTTGAAGTATTTGAAGTATATCATGTAGTAGTAGGTGGTATTTGAAGCACTAAATGTAGCATTTGTGGTATAATATGTAATAGGGGGAGGTATTTGAAGTCATACGTGTAGTATCTGGAGTGTCACCTGTAGTAGCAGGTGGTATATGAATTAGTAAGTGTAGTATCTGGAGTGTCACCTGTAGTAGCAGGTAGTATCTGAAGTACTAAGTTTAGTATTTGTGGTATAATATGTAGTAGGGGGAGGTATTTGAAGTCATAAGTGTAGTATCTGGAGTATCACCTGTAGTAGCAGGTAGTATATGAAATAGTAAGTGTAGTATATGGAGTATATCCTGTAGTAGCAGGTCGTATATGAAATAGTAAGTGTAGTATATGGAGTATATCCTGTAGTAGCAGGTGGTATATGGATTAGTAAGTGTAGTATCTGGAGTATCACCTGCAGTAGCAGATAGTATTTGACGTACTAAGTTTAGTATTTGTGGTATAATATGTAGTAGGGGGAGGTATTTGAAGTCATAAGTGTAGTATCTGGAGTGTCACCTGTGGTAGCAGGTGGTATTTGAAGTACTAAGTGTAGTATCTGGAGAGTCACCTGTAGTAGCAGGTGGTATTTGAGAATCCTCTGCACTGGTTTGAGCAGGTACGTCTCCAGAGGTAAAGAATGGTTCAGAGTCGTCTGTCTCTCCTGGAAGAAATGAACCAGACTTTTGTTTTTCATACAGTCCCTCAGCACCGCCACCGAGCTGTGGAGACAGACAGAGACAGACAGAGACAGACAGAGACAGAGAGACAGACAGATAAAGACAGTTGTTATAAAACTCAGACACTGCTTGGACATGCAGCTCAATGTAGAAAAAAAAAAATACAGAATATGGAAACACCTCCCCACTGAAGACAAATGACTGTTTATGGCAGTTTCACTGTGTTATAAATGAAGTGTGTTGTTTTGGATTCTTTTCTCACTCAAACAATATGACAAGAATAAAAACTCAATAAACAGAACCAGAATCTCTGAGCCGTTAAGAAGGTGTGATAGATATCCAGGTAAGATTTGCAGTATCAGTCAGGGAGAGAGTCCAGCCGTCGACTCCTCTGATGAACATTTATCACAACATGAAGGCAGGAGGATCGAAATTTAATAAGAAGGAGAGGTGGTGAACCAAAAAGAGAAACGAGGGTGGAGGAGGTCCAGTAGATGATGGAGCGGCAGGAGGAGAGAGGGAACTCCTCAACTCTGAAACCCTCTGACAAATATTCATCAGGAAGAGGAGGTGAAGAAATGATAGAGGAGGAGGAGGAGGAGGAAGAAAAAGACAGATGGAGGAGATTATGAAGGAGGAGAAGGACTCCACAGCTGTTTGGAGCTCTGACAAACATTCATTACAAGTTTAGGGAAGAAGGAGAGAAACTGAAGAGATTGGAGAAACAGCCAAAGTGATTAAGGGAGGTCTGTTAGATGACAAAGGAGAGAAGAAGAAGTTCATTCGTCACAATCTGAACAAAGACATTGAGGAATAGAAGAGGACAAAGTCAGAGAAGGTAATGAACATTTCTCTACAAGTTGAACACAGAAACTGAAGATGACAAAGAGGAGAAAGACATGGAGAGGAGATATGAAGGAGATTATGTAGGATAATCCTTGAGATGATGTAGGGGATGAGGAGGAGAGAGGAAGTTCTTCCCCAAATGCTGAAGGCAAAGACCTGATGAGAAGACGACAGGTTGTCCAGATGATCTGTGAGAGGAAATGGTTGAATGGCAGTGGAGGCAAAAGGAGGTGATGGAGGACAGAGGAGACTCCTCAGCTGTTAAGTCTGCTGACAGACATTCATCACAGCATGCAGCCAAAGAATCTTGGACACCAGCAGTGAGATGGGAAGGAGGGAGGAGAGAGCAGCAAAAAAAGGGGAAGTCTGAACAAGGAGGGGTGAAGACAGAGGAGGGGAAGGAAGGAGGTCAAGGTAACGACGGGGGTAGAGAGGAGAGGAGGCTCTTTTCCTCCAGATAGACGTTAATCACAGGAGGGAGTCCAGGAATTCAGTAATATCTTCTACAGACTGATGTGTTCAGCAGGAAGTCTGAAGCTTTCAAACTGAAACAATCCTGTACACCTACTCTGCAAAATATTAATACTGATGCTACAATATCTCATGGTACGATAACTGTAGTTAGCTTATGTTCCGCCCTCAAAGATTGTAGTTATAGTTAATGTTACTCTAGTCTCCGGCATGCATTTAAAACCTCCACACCTCAGTTTGCTCCTCGCTTCATTCCTGCAACGATACTGAATGTTGACACTGGACAGAAGTCATGAAATGTAGAATCATCCAACAGGAGTGTAATTTATGGACGACTAAAACACTTGGGTTAAGGAAAGATGGTGGGTGTTTGATGTCGGTGTTTGTGCTTCAACTCAGCACTGAACATAGTTTAGAGTTGCAGAATCGTGCACACACAGAGCAGCACAACTGTCGTTGCTAGTGTCAGACCAATGCAGTTGGCATTTTCACAGCCAGCACCCACGCTGTGTAAGTACTTGCACCCATCTGTGCCACAATGGGCGTGTAGCTCTTAAAATGAGGTGTGGTCAAGGGCATTGTTGGCGTATTTCTATTCTGAGGCAGCAGAAAGCGTTTGACCTTAAGTGCTATATCGTAGGCAACTGGACTTGCTTGAGTGTCTTGAAGACATTTCACCTCTCATTCAAGAGGCTTCTCCAGTTCTGAGAACTGAAAACACCGATAACATACTTGGAGTTAATTATGCGACTTAATACAACCCCTTCATGCCTTGTGCCTTTTTGTGCCCAGATTATACATCGTTTAACAGTGAAGAATGGAGCTGGGCACGTCCTAAATGCACTTGCACCATGCACTGTAAACCAAGAGCTATTGATCATTTAAATAGGGCTCAGGGAGACAAAGTATTGAGCTGTGTCCTCCCATTGTCCACCAACTCCCTCTTCATTTGAGTTACATGTAGACAGTGCTTCCTGGACCAGCAAACAAAATGTATGGGACAAAACGAATTAATATTTGACAGTGGTTTTGTGATTTGTAGAAGATGGGGTCAAGCTCAGGGATGTTTCCATATGTTCATCCAAAACTTGGATCCAGAATAAGATCGGATGTATACACCTCTACTCTTTATATCCATCCATTCGTTTTCTGTAATGGCTTCTCCTGTTAGGGGTCGCTTTGGGGCTGGAGCCTATCCCAGCTGACACTGGGTGAGAGGCAGGGTTCAGCCTGGACAGGTCACCAGACTATCACAGGGCTGACACATAGAGACAGACAACCATTCACACTCACATTCACACCTACGGACAATTTAGAGTCACCAGTTAACCTGCATGTCTTTGGACTGTGGGAGGAAGCTGGAGCACCTGGAGGAAACCCACGCTGACACAGGGAGAACATGTAAACTCCACACAGAAGGGCGCCCCCACCCCAGGGTACGAACCAGGAACTCTCTTGCTGTGAGGCGACAATACTAACCACTGCTCCACTGGCTCTTTATGGGATGACTAAAAAGGAATTTGATGGCTCAGAGCTTTTGTACGGCGCCACATCAGGGTGGATTTTTTATCAAACTCTCTGTTAATATTCCTGCTCTTCAGAGAATAAAGTCTTTCATGAACTTTCGGATGCCCTGTAAGGTCTTATATGTCCGAACAATAATAATAATTCAGTTCAATAATTATTTCTCTGAAAGCTCCAATGTGAGCTCTGGTGTGCCCCAAGGTTCTGTCCTTGGCCCTCTTCTGTTTTGTATTTATTTGCTCCCTCTAGGAAGGATCATCTCAGAATGTGGCATCAAATATCAATGCTATGCGGATGACGTCCAGCTGTACATGCCACTACAGCCTGATAACCCCTCTCAGACCCGTAATCTAGATGAGTCAGAACCTTCTCATGTTAAATGCTGCCAAGACTGACCTAGTGGTGATCAAGCCCTCTAATTAGAAGCAGTTGTCTCTAAAGTTTTGTTGTAATGTTGATGGATGTATGATCACGGAGAGTTTGTGCATAAGAAACTTTGGAGTCACCTTTGACCAAACTTTATCTTTACAGCTTCATATCAGGGAGATCACCAAATCAACCTTTTTCCATCTCTGTGACATTGCTAAAATCCGCCCTGTTTAGTTTCGTCGCAATGCTGAAATCGTCCTCCATGCTCTTGTGTCTTCTAGATTAGACTATTGTAATGTTCTTTTCTCCGGCCTCCCTGCATCTGCTACTCGTAGTTTTCAACTTGTGCAGAACGCTGCCACTAGAATTTTGACCAGAACCAGTAAATACAGTCATATAACTCGTGTCTTAGCATCTCTGCACTGGTTGCCTGTCCAGGCCAGAGCTGATTTTAAGATGCTTCTTTTAACTTATAAGGCATTACATGGTCTGTCCCCATCCTACCTATCCGAATTACTCACACCCTATATTCCGCCTCGTCCTCTGCGCTCTCTGAACTCTCACCTTCTGGTTATTCCCTCAGTAAATAAAAAATCAATTGGTTGCAGGGCCTTCTCCTACTGTGCACCTTACTTATGGAATTGCCTCCCGCTACATATTAAAGAATCTACTTCCACTGCAATTTTTAAAACACTTCTTAAAACACACCTTTTTACCCAATGTTTTGGAGAAATTTGAGTTTTCTAATTGTTATATCCTTGTCTGTTTTTCCTTTGTCTTTTTGTGTTTGTTTTTGCTTATTTGGCTGTCTACTCTTTCCCTTCATTGTTTTTATTGTAATTGATTCTGTAAAGTGTATTGAGACCATGTTTCTACCATGGTGATTTTACACTCTAAATAAACTGAAACTGAAACTGAACTGAACATCAGACCAAAATATCCACATTCTAAACAACATTTATGTAATCTTAACTAAATTAATGTTCTTATTTCATTCCTGCTCCCAAGACTATAAACCCTTTAGATTTCAAATCTAAACCTAACATTAAAATTGTACATTTTAGTAACACAAAAAAAGCTTGAAGATTCATCTGTATATTGTTTGTTCTGCCACTGTGGTCTCCTGGGCATGTTCGCAGGACTTTGGTTGCACTGAAGTACAAAAGTTTTCAGAAGATCATCACAAGACGTGCAAAACAAAACATTGTGAGACAACAAATGTGAGAACCACAACCAAGTCCCCCACAGTGGTGAGGTGAAGCTGAAATCTGTGATCTCAGACAAAACCAGACTAAAGGAAACCGACCTCAGCCTCAGATAAACACCGACCTCTGCATGAAGAATCTAAAGCACATGGCAGATATGAAAAACGTACACCAGAGACATTCCTAGAAACTGTGCTTGGACAGATTCCCATCAAATCACCAGCAGAAAACGAGACTTCCTGCATATGAAGCTCACCTCAGTGGTGTCAGCAGCATGTGAAAGACACACATAGGTGAACTTGCTCATTTGTTATCTGTTCACCTCGGGTTGTACTCCTTCTCTAAACATACAGAGAAATCAGCGCCGGTCGTTGTTACAAATTGAAGCAGGTTTGCCTCCATATTCTCACAGACTGTAGATAATTACAGCTGTTCCCAAGAGCCTGAATTCATCTCCACCAATCAGAGGTAACACAAAACCAGCCTGCAGTCTGCACAGCCACTCAAAATACTATTAACCTCCTCAACTCTCTGCATTCCCCTTCAGTCTACCTTTAAGTTTTGTTTGCATTTGCAGAAAGTAGTTTCCAGGCATCTAAATGACTTTTCCACTGTATGAGAATCATC